TCGATAACTTTTTTTGTTTTTTTTTTTTTACATCAGGCGCGTGGCCGTCAAGCTTAAGCATGTTTATGCTTACGCTTGACAGCCACGCGCCTGATGAAGAGCGACGCAGAGCAGCCTAAGGTGGGATGCGCTTGCCTAGAAGAAACCGATTCACTCGCGACTTGAAGAGCCCCAGATTATAGGTGACTGAAAAGTTACACAACCTAGCCGTTCTGACGATATAGATGGAAGCAAACCGTTTAGTACGAGTTTGCGGGACCACTACGGTATATCTGTGGCGTTTCGGCGTCTCTCTGGTAGTTCTGTGGTAAAAAGATGAAGGTGGAATTGGTTATGTAACTCCGAAGCACATCGTCAATATACTGAAAATGAAAGGCAAATTCACAACGCTCCGTTACACCTAAATAGGTTAATAAATCAACTCGCAAGCAGGACACTTGCGTTCTGACTCACTAATGAATGAACAACTGCGTCCAACAATACCATTTCCTGTTTTACAACGCTTTGTTCTGCGGTGAAAATTGTTGCAAAACCATCACGACATCGTGTGTTACGTGTCACGAATAAATTACTATCTTAAATCGTTCATGTATCATTGAGCCGATTGGTGACAAAAAAAACTACGACCCCTCAATACAAGGGTATATCAGATAATATTTAACAAATGTTAAGAGCGGCATACAATGCACGCTACCTGGATGCGTGTCACTTATTTGTTTAGGTTGCCACGTTCAAAACCAGTAGCCGGAGCCCAAACAACTATACATATACACGCTTTATAGTTATAGCCGAGAGTTGCGCAGGATTAGTTTTTGTTCCTCTTTTTATCTCCGCGTCCAGTTGTACTAGGACCTCTTTCCTAGGGTTGCGTGTTTCCTCGATCGCGCCTCGAGTTGCGAATACAATAAAACTCTGTACATTCACAGTGGGTTTTGACATCGGACCGCCTTTCTCTTGGCCTAGATATTTCGTAACTGGTTCTTATCACAATGCTGGCGGACGGGCGTTGCTTTTAGTTTGGTGTTTCTTACAAAATATTTCCTGCCAAAGCAGCTGTAGTGAAAACAGTAAAAGGGTTTCAAATGAAAGCTTTGATCAAACCCTTTCAATTTTAAAATATTTTGAGAAAGGTCTTAGTTTCGTGTTTAAGGTACAAATTTCTAAAGATATTTTAATTTATTTCATCGTCCCTTGTCGTGTCGTGATTATTACATCACCGATTGTCCTAACTTATTGTATGTAAAAATGTATGTCACAATCTAAACGTTTCTGGGTAAGGTAGAGGTTTATGAATTTGTACTCGAGCACGATTCTGAATGTTTCATTTATTCGTACAGCCCTAATTCTTAAATGAACAAAATAAAAGGCTCCCAACACCACGATGTGCGCTCAGGGCAGGGCGCCAACCTGTTTGGTCGCAGAGAGACGCCCACGCTCACAAATCCGTTCCTTGCTACGATAAACCCTATACACGGATGTTAAATTATATAATTTATTCACACTTACGAAAGTAGCTTTTGTCCTACTGAAAAAACAGGTTTTGTATCAGTATGTAAAACTTCATCATTAACTGCTACTGTAAAATTGAGATGTGCGAATTGGTTTGTACTCAAGTAATTAAAGCAAAAAGGACTTTCCAAAATATTTTTAGAATGCCAAAAAATAAACTTTGCTTTGGTTTCTAAAGACGTGCATTTTCCATACCGTCAAAAGGTAGATAACGATTAAAAGGATGCTGAGCTGAGGCATATGATTAGACGCCAAGAGGCGGACATGTCAAAACCTGTCCAAATGACTCACAACAGAAGACTTGTCGGATCGTGTTACGACCAATTTACGAGGTTTATATCGACGATGTAACTAATATTTATCTTTGTTGGATGCATTTAATTAACCTTTGCTTTGCTATATATATATATATATATATATATATCTTTGAATTAGGTACTTATTCACTTTGGCTACCTATTTATTTACTACCCTCAAGAAATCTTAGTAACCCTAAACAGTTTTGAATGTCACAATGTTCTGTGATGTAACAAGTAGCTCAAGTAAAACGTTATTAATAATAATGATCGCAACAATTCTAGAGAGGTTGAGTCGTGCCTTCCACGGTCAGGGCACAACATTCGACCCGCGTTTCTTTACAATTCCCAATGCTCTCACCACGTTCTCGTACAATGGGCATAATGCGTCTGAGCAATTTCAACCTCACCGAGTAGTGTGATTTCGTGGGCCATAATAATGACGGTAATAATGGTGAGCTGGGCTGGGAGGTAAACAAATCGTCGTGTTCTCAAGACGTGCTCCACGATTATCTATTCACGTGGTGCGTTCTTGTTTCCTGCACTCCTGCAAGCGGCAGGATAAAAGCAAAGTGACAACCGCATCACGCCGACGACGCGCCCGCCGCGTTGCCACCGTGACGCGTGACTCACAAAAAATCGAATTAGACGCTAGCTCAGGACCTCGAACAAAGCCCAAAAGGGTAGATCCTTTCGTTTCTACACGCCTCGTGATTTTTTCACTGTCCACGTAAAAAGTTAAAATATTCCAGTCATGCAATACTGCGGATGCAAGACCAGTGGAGGCGACCTTCGATTGAAACGCATTCTCAACGCCTCCATCGACACTTGTTACTAACCAAAATGCAGGTTTGTAGTAACAAAACGTGCTTGTAGTTCGACATCGTCGAGCGAGCAACTCGATTCGGCCTTTGAAATATGCAAATTACTAAATCACACCGAGCACATTGTTTAAATACGTCGACGACGGTTTGAAATACGGGTTCTGTGTTATTGTAAAAACAGATTTGCTGAGTGAGACGGGCGCGGTAAACAAAATTATATATCTGCCTACTTCGGAGAGCTGAACGCGAGCAGATATTTAGGTCGACCGAAATAGCTTCTCTCCGGTCGACATTACGCCGAGCTCTCGAATGCTGTCGTTAGTTTGTTTTGCAATCAAATTTAGATCCTTCAAATCCACCTTAAATAAAAAGATTTATGGAATTTTAACTAAAGGAATATGAAAAGAACACGTGTTTCTGGATGATGTTATTAAAGATGTCGAAGTGGTTATAGAAATAAGAGCTTATAATTGCGTCTAACGATGTTAGTCTAAACAATATCAACAATTGATAAAAGTTATTGTGATAAGAGGAGTTGTTTGCGCGGGCCCGGCCATGCCCAGCGCACGCGCTTGCGCCAAGGCCATTTTATTTACGCATGTTTACGTGCCCCCGCGCAACGTTACCCGACCACTACAGATAGAGCACGCCTCCGAATCAACCCAACTATTTGCGTCTGATTCTAAAACCAGTTGTGTATTACGCACAAGAAATGAAGAAAAACGCGGGAAACGCTTCATTGAACATTTGGCGGGAAACGGTTGCGTAACCACGTGAAAGTATTTTCTCTCGTTGGTTGGTGAAGTGCTTGTTATGTTATGCTGAAACATCCTCATTGAACAGGCATTCAAACACCACTATCATACAAACACTTCAGATTGAGGTATAAATTCCTATATCATTATTCTGGCAGAATTTCTCTTATTTTTTCCAAAAACCGCTTAAAAGGCAGTAGGAATGTGAAAGTATTTTTAGAAAATTTCTTTAGATTTAATTTTTTGGCATCCACGTGGTGTTTGCTCAATTTGGCGGGAATTTAGCTTGCTGTACCAGTCGGCCTTGAGCCTCGTGACGTCATTGACATAGTTCCCGACTGCACAAAATGGACGGCGGACTTCTTCGTCGACATACAGACATGTTATTATTACATTTTTTGGTCCAACATTCGAAGACGGTTACTCATTTTCATTAACTTTGTTGAAATCTCAAGGTTTTGCCTCATGTGTTCATAAATCTTCACCTGCAAATTGACGTTTGTGTTTATCTTTTAAATTAGCATAGTTATCATTATTTTCATTATAATCAGCTCAATAATTCTCGACTTCCACCACTTCTACATATACAAATACATTGATCATTGTCAGTGAATCTGTACCGGTTTGTTGCAATTCATTCGCAATAATGTATCGTCTATAAAATGAATTTGTGTTGCAACCTTCGTTGGTGTTACTACATATTAGCTATTGTGTTACATTCATTGGGTGCTCATATTCTGCAATATAGCCTTTATCAGTGTGTACAGTATCTCCATACACTCAACTGCCGATGTTAGGTATATTATTAATACCCATGACATCCACTCCAAATGGTTCGGCCTTGGACGCATCGCTTGTTACCAAGTGTTTTTTGTCGGTTACAGATAATTTTAGTGATCGCATACTGATTTTATTGACTAATACTGACTTCTGTTCATGATGTCTTTATTATTATTATTTCCTTATATGTATTAATGACCGAAACTGAGGTATTTGGAAAAGAGCGTCGTTTGTTATCCAATATATTTTGGTTATTCAAATTTAAAGTATATTATAGATTACTCGTTATCCCACACAGCCATCCGTAACTCATAGTTCCATAACCATTATTATTAAGATTAAACAGTAGTAAAATACTCGTAAAACTTTAATAGCTATTAGGGCCATAATTTTCGAAAATTAGAAATGGTTACAAAGAGTGTCGCCGCCTTCGAGAACGTATCTGTCAAAGGATTTCGGGGCCTAAGAGCATTATAGGTGCATTTTTATGTTCCATCCATAGATGAAGTCGTAAAAACGTCAAACCATAATGTTCCGTATGCAGGCATCCGGGCTAACGAAGGCTCCATTTTGAAAGTCGTAAAATTTTACCAATTCTCCCTGGCACGCCTTCTGTTTTTATGGGGTGATTTTATACATCGTAACGAGATGCATACAATGCTGCACCCTCAAATACGGTTTCGGCACTCGTAAAAGTGTTATTAATTGCAATTTCTGTACCAGCACATAATTTTTCTCTTTTATAAACTTGGTTAGAACGAGTAACGAACCCTTTTGCATTCATAAAATGTCATGTCTGTACTATCTATCTGACTGTTCTTTTTCCTTGTTTCCAGATTACCTGAAACCACGCAAGCGGTTATCGAATGGCGGGAAAAAATCCCCCGCGCACAAGCACGAGTGTGGACACAGAGCACATATTCGTCCACCCAAGGTCGCGCGTCTCGCGCCCGCACACTTCAAGCGGCCCAGCTAGGCCCAGCCATGCCAAAATACTCAACCTGGTCAGCAGACAATTGTCATAACAACCACACAATTGCAAATCGGATTCTAACTCCATGCAATTCTCATCAATTATACCAAAAACTTTCTAAATGCAGTGGGTACACCCAAATCTTTCTATCATCCATCGGATGCAAATGCATAAACTGAGCAGCAGCGAAACTGACATAGTTTAGGTTGAGTTGGATATACATTGTGCAAATTTATTTTATTTCCTAATTTATTTTGAATGTGATTGTTTTCGCGTGGAGAACAATTTATTTAAAGTTAAGTAATTTTATAAGATAGTTTCGAACGTTATACCAAGGTTTAAAATAAGACTCTGGACTTTGCAGTACGTACGCGCGCCATGCATTTTGGGTCTGCCGATTTTAACACAGCTTGTAATAGATAGATTAGATTTTCCCCATAGTTATATCACATCTCATCACAATATTGTTTTGCTCAAATGCTTTTCACAATCAGCACAGACGGAACACATCTAATAGAATCACGACCGCTAAACAAACAAGACCTCTTGCAATATTTACAATATTTATAGATTTATTTATAAGTTTTATGATCTCTTTTGACGCCTAGACATAATTATGATTAAGCGTAGTAATAATTAGAGCTAAGATTTCAGGTTAAAATTAAGTTTTGGGTCATATTTCTCCTGCGAGCTATTCTCCTCCTCGATGGTCATAAATGTAAATGCCTTGAAAGTGTTAAAATTATTCCGTTTCAGAATAAAATTTTGACTGGTAATCATTCGAACAATTTCGAAGCATTTCAGAAAACTCAGTCAAACTAAAGATTCTCTTCTATCGTTTTCGTGATTTCACACGAGAAAGATAAGAGAGATTTCACCTAGCTCTACATATAAAAAATATGGAGATGTTTCTTTTTTGAAGATTATGTATGGACAGTGTTTTAGTGTAGACAAAATACAAATACTCAAGTGAACGCGACCACTTTTGTTACCTCACTAGTAACAGAAACAATTGCCGATAATTTAAATGTAAATGATAAGTTTAAACTTTTTGTATTGCTAATTTTGAGTATTTGTGTTTTAACAATATTACTCCTATTACAAATTATATGTTTTGTTGTTGTATTATAATGGATTATATCTTTATCAATATATTGATAATTGTTTTCATTTTAACATTGGTCGCTGCCGCGACTCTACAGCAGTAGGCAGAATTCTAATTTGGTAGCATGGTGAATATTTGGTATTCGAAAATTCATGTTAATGCATGTTAAGAATACCTAGTTCACAATATTCTCAATCTGGAGAGCTAGAGTATACGTTGTTTCATCTACCGCGGTCCTTTATTGAAAGTACAAAATGTCGTTGGTTTAGTTAGAAGGACCGCGGTCCCATTAAATTTAAAAGACAATACCATCAGGATCATCGTTACATATAAATTTGTATTGTATATTCTATATAAGGTTTCGTTCTACGTAAGATTCTACTGAACATACACTGTGTATGAACATTTTTTTATGTACAACGAAGATTGTTATTTTTAGCGCATTCTAGCCAAAGGGTTTTCGTACTAAGCTGGTTATTGACTTCATTCAACAATGAAATTTTTAAATGAACTTTTCTCTATTCAACAGGACTGATTACAGATTATGCTTATATTTTTACACAATGAATGCTGTTACTAGCGTTATTAAGGTATGACGTCTACAAAAGTTTTCTATTTGACAGTTTATAGAAATTTTTGACGTGTTTTTTTTCTCTTAATTATGAATTTATGTTGTTGTGTGGTACCTCGAACAGATATACATTGATTACAACTTATCAGTAGCAGTTTCTTTGCTTAATTGATTTGTACTTCAGCTATAGTATTAAAACTATTGACATAGCGAATGGATGTAGCTACACTCGCATGATATTTAGAAATCTCTAGAAAGAGTTAGTGATGTAACAGCCCGATACTTATACTAACTATAGGCCGCCCGATCGCTTTCTCTCTTTCACACTATCAATGCTCCGTCCATTCTCTTATATGATAAAAAGCGACCATGTAATGATTGCAAAAAGGAGAGATTTCATCGCCGCCATCATTGAATACGAATTGGCAAAATCTCATATCTCCTTGTAAGAAAAATATTTTATTAATTCACTTGTCACATGTTGATAATAGTAACAGATCATGAAGGGCCATTTTTACATTTGTGACTACTGAAAATTAACAAAAAAATATAAATTCCAGATTGTTGTTATTAAATTAGGGAATGGAATACACTGTGTTCAGTCGCTTTAGTTCACACCACATGCAAAGCGGCTCTATACTGTTTAGTATTCCTTCCGTCACCTCTGTTCGTGGTATCACACCTGATATATGAAAATTTTTGTTGTGTAAAAAATAATTCTATCGGATATTTTGTTGTGCCAAGAAAATATGGCGAAGTGTGTATAAATAAATGATTCGCGCCATTCGTGCGTGTTTTCGCCGCAAGAGCGCTGAGCGCACTTCATTATAATTAATAAAAATATGTTTTTCTCTTAACACCTGTGATGTATTAAATATGATCTCAGAACATAATGTACCATATTCAATTGTCATATTTAATTTTTTTTTTGTTTAAATAGTGTGTTACTGAAGCGTGTAAGTAACAAAAATACGGTATCCCAAGAGAATGAACGAACATCATGATGAGAAATAATTTAATACATCAATTTTAAATATTTTTTTGGAAAATGCGATGTTGTTTGCTTACGTAGATTTGTTTGTTTTCAATTGAAGGTATATTGACTGAGTTTTTTAGAGACTTTGTTCACACACTGTACATTTGTGCACTCCTGTGTATTTATTCGAGCAAAGTCTCTACGGGATCTAAGTAAGGGATACACATAAAAATATCTAATATATTCGTATGTTTTATTATATTCATTAAAGCTTCAGAGGCAATATCCATGTATTATGTTCAGGTGAACACAAAGATTATGTTAGAACATCTGTCATATTTTTTGTATTATGTACTTTCACTTTTCCGCCCGCCAGACTTCCTCGATTTATAAAAAAAACCTAATAAGTAATAGCGAAGAAACACTCACTCGGGCGATAAAACTGTAAATATTTGGACAAACAATTGAATTAACATTTTAATACTGTATGCGTATATTATTATATTATGTAATGTATGAAAACTTAAATTTAGTTAAAAAAGCTTATTTCAGTCTACAAGTTCTTTTATTCACACTTACCCAATGTCCTTTTAATATCTCCACTACGAATAAACTCAAAACTACTGGACCGCTTTCAAAAATTCTTTCACCATTAGATACTACATATCCCTGTGTAACAAAGGCTATAAATAAGTTGTATCGCCTTCAAAATAAAGTTCACCCGTGCCCTCTTGCGAAGAAGGGGAAGATAAATAAAATCAGGTCTTTTTTCCTCGTACATATGCAGCTAAAAATCTCGTAATCTGGCTTTCGAACCTCGTACACGATTTGCATTTGTACGTTTTTATCATCAAGATTGATTTGTGACTTGAGTTATACATTGTTAACCGTTAAAGATAAACTTGAAAAGTCTAGTCCCTTATGAGTACAAACACGCCATTTACTTTGGGGTTTACAAGTGCAACAGAATGAGACAGAAATTCATTTACATGTTAAGCAAAACTTCCAGAACGCCGATTTTTTTTTATGCTAAAGGGGTCTCTAACAAGCTTGACGTGAGGATAGTAATCTGCCACCATAGTCTATAAACGCTTGCGATACCAAAAACATCATCGCAGAGTTGCCTATCCTGACCCAATCACCTACTCCGAGTAGACCTGGAACCTCACCTCACCAAAATAAGATGGAGTGAAGGTCTCTTTCTAAGACGGACGCTCTATTTCGCGAGAACAAATCGCTATGCCCTATACCTTTCGTAAAATTTGGTTGCATCTTTAGTCGTTTGCTCCGACCAATGCGCTTTGCCTGGGCCTGCGCAGTAGGTCGTGATTAGTGTTGCCACGTGTCCCGATTTGCGCGGGACGTCCCTATTTTCAGGGCTCTGGGGACGCGTCCCGATTTGTACCTGATCGGGACGATAAATATCCCGATTAATCATAAAATGAAATTAAGGTAATTAATATACTCGTACTATACTTGCTAGTTTAAAACGCAATAAATTAAACCCAGACTTAAAAACCCCTTGTTTTTTGTTTACTGTCCCGATCTGCAACCCTTAACTTGTTTTGACCTCATGTACCGATTTGAAGCAAATTGGACCTGGCAACACTAGTCGTAAGGATGGATTCCTTCTTATTTCATCCACATGTAAGGACTGTGTCCCAGCAGTGACGATATAAATATAAAGATGATTGTCCGGAAACCAACAGTGACAGGTTGTTAGCTACTCTTAAACAACAGTTTCGGCACGTGAAAAAGAAGCAGCTGGCGCAGTCTTCTCACCTTTTTCTTCCGGGTTCAGTGTGAGAGGCGCTGTATTTCGGGCGATGGTAAATAAAACAAATTTATTGGATGCTCGTATGAAAATGTTTACTGATATCACAATCAAGTCTACACAGCTACCCATCATTTCGTGTACACGGCGATTAATGGATGATTTACAAAGAATACACGAATACCAATTAATACATTCAAACGCCGCAACATGGCCGACGTCGCTACCATACATGGTTAATAAATCTATACATATTACATTTTTATTTTCAATACCCAATTTAATGTATTTTGTTTAATAATAATGCTAAAGATCCTTCCGGCGCGTGCTATAAGGTTCGTAATTATCTAAATTTCTAATACCGTCATAACTAAGTGTTTTATAAATGTAACTTTGAGTTGCTCAAGTTAAAAACATCTAGTGAAATCATAGATTACTCACTAGTCAGTACAATAAATTTTGATAGAAATTACGTTATTTAAATGTACTTATTTGAAAACACGGAACATCCCAAGTGAATTCATTACGAATCGTCACGAAACTTTCGAAGAAAATACAAATAGAAGCGAACCGATTATTTTGTTCTAAATCGTAAGAAATAGAAATGTGGACAAGGCTCTTTATAATAAAATGCAAAGAAGTTATTGTCTCGAAATACATTTTTGTAATTAGGCAACCCGTTAAACAAATTATAAATTTGTTGATATCTAAAATGTCACACTGTTGTACCATGCATTAAAAACGTTCCTGAGACTTAATAAACACGATAACTATACAAATATTGTTATTATATACAATTATATAGTAATAGAGTATGTATTACACTTAGGCACATCAATTGTTATAAAATTACGAGTTTAATTCGAAAATTGTGATCCTGTCACCGATATTTCTCTATAACTACCACAAACGCTAATACATTTAGTGAATTAATTATTATTAGACAGTGGGATTAGTGAGATTGTCGATTTAAATTAAATGCGATATTATTTTGTGTATTAGAAAATAAAAATAGAAACACTTCTGAAAATTTTAACATCACACTACGACAATTAAATTAGATAAAAGTACTAACTTCTAGAATATTTTAAAATAATAAAATATAATGGATTTTCCAAGAAAGTGTTGTAGGCATAAAAGTCGAGATTGCTGAACGCTGGGAAAATGTGATAAATTTGTACTTTAAAACTTCCCAGTCGCGCAATATTTGTGATAAACCGTATAGCATAATTATAACATTACTTACAATGTAATAACCATTTCATTTGTGTAGGATATAACTTTTATTAACGCTAACTTGGTCGTAAACTACTTTTTTAAACTATTCTAGCACAGATGCAGGATGTAATAAAAGTACCTAGCCGCAGAAATGCGCAGCATTTAACACGCAAGAACTACATAACACCCTTGGACGCTAAATTCAATACAATCATGAAATTTTTATATTAGAGGATAGCAAATATCAAATAATAATCTGGACATCGAAACCACGTATAGAAACAATATTTATTTGAATTACTTATATAGAAAAATGGCGCAGTCTAATTATTATGTAAAATTCTTATTTGGTGCAATTACGTGACACACGGACATGGGGTTATTGCGTTACAGATTTACGCGAAAGTATTAATATAGATAAACGCCTTTGTTAATTTTCCTTCATTGACGAAATTTTAGATTAGAATCACATTGCTTTATCTCCTAATTAAATTCAATAAATCCTTACAAACTGCAGACATTTAGATAGGTACCTACGCGGATAACATTACACCAATAGCTCTTAGTTTTAATCTTTGATAAAGTGTTCTAAGATTTAAAAAGCCGACACTACCTTAGTTAATATTATCCCTGATATTTTGGGAACAATGTATTTGCATGTTGAGAGTTGTCGAAATAGCTAAAGTAGGAAAGTGTTATAAACTATTTTAAGTTCTGCTAGCATCCCACAATTAACATGCAAATCGTTGTTTTACTTGTTCTTAAAATACTACACGCCTATACCCTCTATAAGCTCTAGGTAAATATAAAATATTTCAGCCATCTATAATAATATTTACTCGAGTCAGTTTGGTGTCCAAGTATAATGCGTTTAGGGTTAATTAAAGGATTCCATATTAATATACTGTCCAGCAGCCTCTCACACCGGAGCGACATGCGGACATGGACGGTAAAACATTTGGTAGACACTGGTGCCAATTCTGGCGTGATTCTCTAAACATAAAACTAAATTTAACATCAGTCTCTCCTTTTCATTCTGTATAGAGAATGACAAGGATATACTGCTGTCAAATTTAAGTTTTGGTTTAGAGAATCGAGCTAGAATCGACACCATTGTGTATGTACTGCAAGACCCTCAGGAATGTCTGAACCATTGAATAACACCGTGGATGATGAGAAATAACACACCACTGGTTTTATTAACATAAGATCTAGTCTGCTTTTATAGGGAAAAAATAACTGGGTTTCTTAATACTTTAATCAGCTTTTAAATAAACCGGAGATTTCTCTAACACGTACCTACGTACACTTAATTATGTAATACATTTATTAATAAATATAGCCAGACCGTGTCCTCAATTATCTCTAACGAACTTTACTATTAAAAAAATACAAGTATATATAATATTCTAGTTTAATTATGTGATAGGGATGCGATGATGCTTTTATAACGACTACATATAACTTAAACTGATTCCCTTTTGTACGGTCCAAAGTTCTAGCTTTAAATTGTAATTAAACAAAATTTACCATTAGTAAGGTACATAATATTGTTAAGGCGAATAAACTGATATTTTTGTGATTACCTGCAGCAGTTCCTTCAATTCTACAAAGTCACTCGCTACGAGGGAAATTTAGCTTTGAGAAGAGGAAATATTATTTAATGATGCATTTTTTTTAAGTAGTAGGTAGTCATAATACTGTGTATTTTTCACCATCTCAATAGTGTTGTACAATGATACAGTTGTGAGTCGAACGAAATCAATCATCTAGCAATTTTGATACCGTAAAGATTTTACAAGTTGGTGATATAATATGAACGTCAAGATGGCGGGACCCAGCAAGGTTTTGCAAATATAATTAGGATTTAATGCAGAATTTCTGCTATTATAAACATTTAAAGAAAATTGTACACTCAAAAAATTAAAAATATTCAACTTAGAAAGTGGTCCCGCTATGATAATATCAAAATGACGGGACCACTTATGAAAACCACACCGTAATCTTGAATTGAACACCACTAATTTCAATGCGACTACGTTGGATTCATTACTATACTAGTAAAACAGTAAATTCAATACAAAAAAGGTATTATACCTATTTACAGTAGGATGCACCATAACCAATTGTAAGAGCAATAAAGTGATACTTGGCTTAAAATGATACTATTTCTTCAGGCGTATCCTACTGTAAATATAAAAGGTACCTTTTTTGTATAGAAATTAGTTTTAGACATATAGTAATGAAACGAACGTAATCGCATTAAAACGGGCTATGTTGGGTTTTAGATTATGATGTGTATTTTTCATTAATTAACTAGTGATTCCGTCATTATGATATCAAAATAGCAGGACCACTATCTTAGTTGAATATTTTAAAATTCTTTGAGTGCAGAATTTTTCTATGAAATTGAAAAATAGCAGAAATTCTGCATTAAATCCTGATCACATTATACTTGAAAAACCTGGTGAGGTCCCGTCATCTTGACGTTCATGTTAAAATGCTTACAACTGACAATACACGATATTACTTCAAGAGGTCTGCTAAAGATAAACGTGTGTCCGGCACACAATAATTTGAAATATTATTGTGTGCCGGACACACAATAATATTTTCAGTAATATCACTTAACATTTACAGAAGCGAAGTTAAGAAGCATTGGACTGCACATTATTCTAGAACATTACATTACTATAGACAAAAATCACATTTATTTTAAATAGACAGTGTAAAAATAATGTTTATAAACATTGGCCTATATGTAAGTCATCATTATAGATTCATTGTACTCCATCTAGTTGAAAGCTTAATTTATTATCACACATATAGTTACCTAATAGGTAAATATTTGAACGTCGAGTATACAAAATTTACGCTAAATACGTAGAGTCTAAAACCAGCAGCCGAACTAACAACGAAGTGAGATATCAGACTTGTAGTAATATGGATAAATGTAGGTAGCCTTAATTAGTCCAGTATATTATGTAATTTGTTCCCGTATAGCCTAAGAGGATTCTTGCCTATTGCAATGGCGCAGGCGCATGGTCCTCAGGTTTCTAGAAAGACAACTCTCGCGAGGACACTGGAGTATGAACGCGACACTTCGAAACTGAGTTCAGGGCCAGACTTTATAGCTATTTAAATGTAAATTATTTTTGCTTCATATATTTATCCAGAAAAGAGGGCGCCACAGTAGCCCCTTGATTCATTAACTCTATGAGCGAACTAGTTTACTTTGAGGGACTTGATTATAAAATAATCTTTAAATTGAGGAATAATTAAAGAACTTCTCCTAATTATCTACGAAAACTAAAAATATTAATGAAACGGAATTGAAATAGGAAACTATTGTTTTTTGCTGTTGGTGGTGGTTATATTTCAGCGTTAATGGCAAATCAGCCTAAATAACATGGAATATAAATGGGTTACTATTTCAAATTTCCGCTCCATCGCCAACCTAAAAGCGGCCCTGACTAATTTTTTTATACGCCTAACGCACAACATTACGTCTCTAGAAGAACAGCAATTATAATATTTAAAAACATCGATGATGAATTTCATAATAAATAGGTTATTGGTAATTACATTAGTATTTTTAAAATTTATGCAAGTACGAGATGTTATTTTATTTAATAAATGCGTCTCAATAAATAACTACGATGATACGTACATAACATGTGCGTCGCTAAAATTTTTACTCGTATAAAATCTAATCTAACATTTTCTTTGCGATAAATAACATTTATGAGGATAATTAGTATTAAAATTCAATTAGTGTTTTTATAATAAGTATTTCGTAATACCTATAAAAGTAGATGACATTATTAAATAAAAAAATGTAAAGGGGATATTTCATAAGAGGAAAAACATTGCGTTAAGATAGGTACCGTCAGGTGATGACATTAAAAATATACGTAAAAAAAGAAATAAGAAGAATAAATATGTTTGGCATTTTACTAAAATCTAAATATGTAATAATTTTATCGAGGTAGCCGATGTCTTGGGGATTGAGGAAATTTTTAAAATGTTTGAAGACAATATAATCAACAAAGAGTGTGAAAAGAATGTTAAGTGTAAACCTATGTTGAATTGTTTTCCTTGTTATATACCACCTACTATCTATTTTTTCTATAAACACAGTACCTTTATGTAAGAAACGCTACAATCTGATTAAATTATGAATGGGACGTGCAAAGATTTTGCCGTATGTTTACAGTAAAAACGAATGGATAACACCAAACACCATTTTGTGTACATACTTAATTAAATTACATTAAAATACAAATTTAAAAAATAATCAGATTGCAGGTTTGTCATCGTGCACAGGCGGAGACTACACAGCCAGTGTTGTTGTTTAAGACAAATATTTTTAACTGTAGCGGTTATTCAATGATTATTTTTTTATAATTAATACAAATCTCGACAATCCATCTAAGACCTATTTATTTTATAAATGTACATCTATCGACACTAATAAGGGGCGAACGAAATGGTCTACTAACAGGCAAATTATAAGAACCATTATTGTCTGACACTGGGTTATTGTCAAGACAGCAGCTCAGGCGACGCTCGCCTTTATTTGACTATAGTACACTGCGTTGTGATGTCACACTTATGTTGCATACATGATGTCTGCTACATTGACCTAAGTTTAACAATTCATCTATTGAATATGTGTTTTTCAGTTGTGAATGTATTTCGTCTAGATAAGTCAAAAGGATTTTAAAATATTGCAGTAATACTCGTTTAATATATAAGTTATACACGAATAAACTATGACACCACACGCGCAGCTAGTAGAGAATATACTATGCGATGCGTACACGCAGACAGGCCCACGTACAAAACTGAAACCAACTGAAAAGGAAACGGGGAATAAAAAAAGAAATAAAAGTAAAATAAAAAGGGATACTTTGATGTTTATTTACAATTTGCTCTCTAATAATAACTATTTGATTATTATTTATTATTATTGAAGAAAAAACTTAAGCAACATCAGTGCTACATATATCCCCCGATCACCCCACATATCGAATTTAAAACATGTGTTAATCATTTCGACTTGTGTTACACAAGCGCTCTAATGCTAAATTAAAACATTAAAAAAAAGAAATACCCATCAGAGTTAGCGTTCAGCTCGTACCAGCCGGTACTTACAGAGTTATTATTGTATGAAATCATTAAAATCAAACGTAAAACTATACTTAATAGTTTCCACCGATACAACAATGGGTAAAAGTATAATAATAATAATATAGAGTACCTACAATCACAGCGGTGTAGAACTAAAAACGTGCGCGGTGCGTCCGCGCGCTTTTCGCAGCACAACTCATACACAGGGACTATTTTGTACATTACAAACGGCATTAATCCACACATTATTGTCATTGCTATAAACATGGGGGCATGGAAATGGATTACGAGCGAGATCACCGCATTGTACGTACAACTAATATACACATAAAACAAAAGGGGGGCACCAATTCTTACAATTGCTAAGCAAAATGCCATTTTACACATATGAGTGAACAATTTACTTTTTCATCTTATTGCAACAACCCAAAATTTACAAGACAGTTCCGAACGTACTTTCATTTCATTTTCTACATATGAGTAAAATCACAGAATCACGCCGACGGACAGTTCATTACACTGTTTATAATATATTATTATTCATTATTTAATTATACGACCGAATATATGCCCCATATACAGAAATCACTAATTAATTAATTAAGGCAATTTTAAATCCGACTACGCGAAATTTTAAGCCAAGGGGAGAAAATAATTATCGACTAAAAACGAAAAAAAATAGTTAATATACACATAAAGAATAAAGTTAAACATTCCATCATTTAATAGTGCACTTAAAAGTAAACCCCAAAACTTCGTAAAATATCATCTTAAATGTAATGAATCGCTAATTCGATGATGAGGTGTGGAGTGGTAGTACACTCGTAAAAGGTAGCGCATTCGAATAGATGGGTGCGTGACAGAGATCATTGGCTACAAACGGTCCCATTTCAGGACCTATCTCGCACTACTATAACAACATGGACCGTGTAACAGATTCGTTGCGTTTTGGCTAAGAAGTTTTTGAACTATCACGGAGTCAGGATCGAAACCTTTAAAAAAGAAAGATGTCTTAAAAATACATTTTGATTGTATTGTAAATCTGAATGAGCAATCTTTCATTGGTAGTAAAATTGAAACTGTACGGGACATCTAAAATGTTACTTTTTTATGACAAAAAATATTGATATAGAAAGGAAGACGATGAACCGACCGCAACCTTACATCTGTGATAGTAAATCTTCTGCAACCTTATACACAAACGCTCATAAGCCTATTATTTCCAAGACTGTGCAGAAAATAAAATAAAAGAACACAAGTAATGCACAAAACGGCAAGATAACAGAATAGTTAAACACATATATTACGAGCGTTAGTGGACAAAGTTAATTTTAAAATAGCTCCCATAGTCTTAATACCCCCTTACTTAAAGAAGAGCACATGCAAACGACTTGCGTGCGCGCAACTTTTAATATTACTCGTTTAGTCACGAATAGCGAAAGGAGATCCATGAGTGACGAATTATCACTAATAAATAATTATAACAATATTACAATAAGACGAATCAGTTAGTATACACCCCTATAAAACTAGTATTAGAAATTTGAAATATTAAATTAAGTATTAGTAAAACGTCTTTTTATGTTTATTATTGTGTTAGAATTCGAATTTACACCGCGCTATAACCAATCGAGCGGCGTAAATTCAATATATAAAATATAAACGTAGCAGCGAATCTGATTACAGGGTCCATGGTTTGATGTATATTGCGGATACCAGGACTTGACATACAAAAAGAAAATAACTTTTTTTTAAATATTTTTTTTACCACTATTCAATCGGTTAAAAAAGGGTGGGGTATAAAACGGATATTATTTTATTGAGTTGAATAATAAATAAGTTTAATATTTTCCAGATAAGATAATAAGAATAGTGATTCTGAATTGATATTCAGAATCACTTCTTCTTTCTTTTATTCTTCGTTTTCGCGTATATAAATGTAGATTCATTCAATTATATGGTCTTAATGTATGTTAATCGTATTTATTTTTCGTCAATGCCCATTCACTTTTAACGTACCAATAATATGTAACGTCTTCATGATTATCCGCAATACACATATCGACGTAATATTTGATAGAAAAATAAGAAGAAAAAAAGAAACATAATTAAACGCACTAAATACTACAACCACAGAGTAAACTTAAAACAACATTATTGTCAAGCAGCAAGCTAGTGAACTACATAATAACGAAAATTAACATTACATAGTCTTGTCATAAAATTATTTTAAAAATACATAATAATTATGTATGTATAATGTTGATAGAATGTACGAAAGTATCATCTTTTGATAGACGACGGATGACTAAAATAATGATTAACACATTATATAAATTAAAACACTTAAAAGCTAAATACGTAATTGATAAGCATAGATGTATCACGATGGTATCTTACTACATAAAGCGACAAGTCGCCAATGTATGAAATGACTATTATACTTGTACGATTCGACTTAACTAATAGCTTATATATACAGAGAAGCCAACGCGATGCATATTCGATTGGGGCTGTTCCCGTCTGCCTTCCAACTCGCGTCGAAATAACAATAGTTATAGTACAATCGCCATCAGATATATCGTAACACAAGCGTCGATCAACTACTTTAAACAGTTTTACGATGTAAGTAACAATTAAAGCCAGGATGTAAGCAGCTGTTTTTCAATAATTTCTATGCACGTAACTAAAATATTAGAATACTGGTTACGTCACAATCGCTAAAGATATACAGTTGGAAAAGTTTGATAGCGTTGCAACTCATAAATTTAAAGATTAAATATAATCGTCGATGATATAGTGAGTTTTGGGTAAATCGACGGATGAATTTAAGTAGTCATGTGTGAATAGAAATTATAGGAAAGCAACTGCTATCTATTAATGATAAAGTAATTGAAATTTCGACTGTTCCTGTAGTATTCGATCGCTCCATATGCTACAATATTAACAATGGTAAATGTACGTCACAAAACAAAATAAATTTTGTATGCTCAACTCAAAATTTCAATTAATACGTTCTTGTCGAACACGGTCGTGGAACTGTTGGTTTTCAATAATAATGAAATATTGTCAAATCAAGTTTTTTTTTTATAGTTACGATGGAAGGCAGATGGCAACACGGTCTATAATTTGTAACTGAATAGTACGTGATAAGGTTCGAAATTACTAAAAATAAAATTGGGGCCTGCCAGACGGCTTCTGTGTTCAGTTGAAAGATGCTAGGCAACGCGGACGCACGCCCGCTCATAATCGCGTTTCGAGTCGGCAAAATAATATTATCTCAACACTAAACCTATCCAAATTATAATAATAATTAACTAAAACGCATTGCAGTCGTTAATTGCATTAAATTTGTATAGAGAACATTTTAGCATTTACTTTTTTTTTAAATAACAATTTCGCTCTAACTAACGTGAATATACATGCGTTACAGTCGTAAAATATTATTAGTGTGTACTAAAATGTTTATAAAATTCTTAGATATCTCTTTTTTTGTAATATTTCCTCGTTAATTAATTATACTTGAATCTACGTCTATACAAGTAATCCGTCACCGCGCGCTACACACGTAATTATGTACATAATATAAAACTCCCTTTGATTAATGTGATATAGTGTTAAACACAGCGTAAACGTTTCAATGTCCGCTCGCGTCCCTAACGAGCCTACTAACGCAAAATAACTCATAATAAACCTTAACACCTACAGAATACAGTACATTACGCACGAGTTTAAATAAAATCAAAGTAATAGACAAAATCACCATCGTGTAGTACCAACTAAAATTACACATCATTATACATATTTCATCGCTGCTCCACTTTGAATGTCGAAGAAAATCAGTTCATTCGACATAAGGTCGCTTTCGCATCGGCTACTAACAATAATATTCCCCATTTAATGATAACTCGGTACAAACACTAAGTCTACCATAACATATTAGTAAATGCAACCTACACACAATGTTTCACAGTAAAAATTATGATAAAAATTAACGCGAAATTTACAATCCACTTTATACAATTTTCAAACAAATGTCGTCCGCGCGAGACTATAATAATATAGGTATATTAACTTAAATACGATCAGTATATAGGCGCACTGCCGTTGCCTGCCTAAATAACTTACTGTAATCAATAATAAAATATCTTTATACTGTTCAAGTATAATATCGAAGCGTACATTACGACTACGCACAGTAGATCGTGTGTACATTAGAAAATAATTTAAACATTTAACACCCTATACGATTCTTACGTTTGTACAGAAAGGACGATTTTAACTATAAATACAAGTGTTGCGACGAGGCGCAATCAAAAATTCGTAAGGAACTGTTTGATATATAACATAAAAAGCATACACACACTAGTCATAGATTTTAATTAAAAATTGCAGTGTGAGAGAATTATAGAATATATCCGTTCCTTTGTATGGCACCCTCGAGCCTTCTCGAAGGGTTGCAGATGGAACCTATTGGATACTGAGCCATAAAGGTACTGTCACGATATAACCACCGCACAATCGTTACCGACTATCAATACACCGACTTATCGAAGTCGGTGTTATTATACTTATTCCTATCGAGGAATAGTTCAAAAAACATATAATAAGAACACCTAAATTGTTAAAATAATATAAACGCAGTTAAGAAGTATTGGATATGAATTCGTCTTTTAAAATCAAATTATTATAAATTTTTCTCTTGAAAGTATTTATGTACAAAATAATATATATTTTAATTTTTGTATTGACGCTTAATTTTGCTTTTTAATTACCAAAATTTTTTTATAGCAAACCTGTTGAACATTTTACTATGTCCACAGGAGTGCTTAGTCAAGAACAAAATTAAACCTCAGTTATTCATTTCAAAATACTCAAAACACAGGCAAAATGCAATTTTCTGCGTTGCATTGTTTTGATTAATAAATTTTATTTTATTTACGAATTCATGTTACGAAATTAATTTAACCATACAATTTAAATCGTCATACATTAACTCATGCCGAAATAAATTAATGGTGCGTAATTAAATATTTTATGATAACTAAACCGCTTCTTTACTGAGAACGCATGAAAATTAGGATTCAAAAAGTATATTACAATAAAAAAAACTAACTTATTGTTAGCGGAACATATTGTACAACTACCAAACATCCCGGTGATTTGAAAATAAACTTAAGTTATAAATATTCACTATAAACACTACCCCGCATACCTCTTAAAGAAGCACAATACAACTTTAGCGCCTAATTAAATCAAATCGACGGTAGTACCACAAAAATAAGTTACAACCACATTGTGTATCAAAACTAATATTAGTTATTTTCGATACACATTGTACATCAATTGTAATTGCAAATAATTAACGTTATCATAAGTAGACTATATAAGACGAATTTAAACTCTCCAATTAGATAAAGGTACACACAGAAGCCTCTACTATCTAAAAAATCGAAAATTTTAATCACTGCGGTTGATATACATCGACAATCGACAAATTACCCAAGAATTTCCAATAACAAACGCTAGTAATTCGATCAAATTAGTTCAGAAAGCGTTCGATCTTCAATCACTGTGACTCTCAACCTTCAACGCAAGTTATTCTTGTAATAATACCATCGTGTCTTTCCAAACAGCGTTCGATCTTCAGTCCGTGTACTGTAAGGTGTTGTAAATGCTTCAAATTTTCCAGAAATCGCGAGTTCAATTCTTGTAGTAACACCGTCGTTTAATTTCATATTCTTCATGGGTTGTACTACATTCAGTCTGTGTACCACAAGTGTTGTTGATGCTGCGCCGGATGAGCAGGGTGGGCAGGATGAGCAGGGTGAGCAGGATGAGCGGGGTGTACGAGGTATGTGGGTGAATAGGGCTGCAGGTAGCCGGGTAGTCGGGCTCCGGAGCCGTGGTGCGCTGGAGGGGGGCCTGCTACGCCGCCTACGCCGCCCCTGCGATACAAAACGGCTCGCATTACAAACATTGGTTATTTTAGATATTTAAAGGCCGTACCCACTAGGGTTGACACCTTTTTTTTGTCGAAATAAAGTACATTTGGATATTAAAGGAAAAAAATACATTGTGTCCAAAATAAAGTACTTTTTATTCCACTTCATTAGTAAGCTTAAAAATATATTTTACGTTGCTACTTAAATAACAAGCAACTTGTACTAAATAATTTGTGCCTACTAAAAATCTGTAGTTCTTTTCAGCAATGGGAAAGGTCATGGTACAAAGCCATACAGCCACGAAAATGTTGCAATGTTGAATTAACTAAGGGCGACATATTCATACTGTCTGTCTGTTTTACGCAAAAATTATTCATATCAACCTCTTTTTGTATATTTTATGTAAAATTAATCCCCGAGTAATCAAATCACATTAAGTTAAGATTTTCTTGTACTTTATTGTTAGCATAAAGTATAGAGTATAATAGGGTACTAGACAAGAGTTTTAGAAAACGATCTCACGTTATTGACTTATTTTATGGAGTCTGTAAAAAGTGGATATTCATCATTCTGTTGTGTATTTCAGTAAAAATAACCAAATCCACAACTCCATTTTCAAGTTGCCGCGAAACGTTTTTCTGGACAATATGGAGTCTTACTAGTGTGTAACGACACAAGACTGTTATTAAAACGTCAAACGATACAATGTAATGTCATTTTAACCGGAAGTTTACTTGCGTGTGACGTCATTTTAGGCTCCGCCAATCCCAAGCGTTTTGGGTCACGTGACAATATATTAGAAAACTATTATCTTTTTCGTGGGTTTTTAGTGAAATTATGTTTTTTTTTTAAATAGTAAAAACCGCTGCCAATATTCATTCTAAATACAGATGTTAACAATTGGCACTTTATTTTTAATACTGTCAAATACTCTATTACAAGAAATAACGTACAATACTTTATAATAAAGTACGGATGGCAACACTAGTACCCACGCATTTTATAAAAAAAAGACATGTTCAATAAACAATTGTAACTTAAAGGGTTGCCGCAAACGGGCCACACGCGACAGCCACAAACGCCGCCACGAGAAGCTAGAAACGGCTACAACACGGCTACTACACGGCAACAGCTGAAGCACGCGACAGCCACAAGTGGCCGATGATCGACACTTGCCGTCGGTGGCTGCTACTTTTTTTTTAACACATGCGTGCAGTATCGTAATGGACTCTTACGAAGAAGGTTTGAAGGTAGGAAATCGCGCGAGTGGCGTGTGGCGACGTTTCGTATCGGCACATTAGTGGCCGGTGCGGGCCACAAGAAGCGAGCAACGACAATTCGTAGCGTGTAGCGGCCACCGGCGTTAACCGTGTGCAGCGAGTCCATATAAAATGTATGAAAACTACAGGAAATATGCCGGTGGCGGCGTTTTGTGGTTGTGGCACACCGCGTAGTGTATCATGGCCCAGACTTCCTATTCCATCCATAGGGAAGGACTGTGCCCCAGCAGTGGGGACATTAAAAGGCTGATGATGATGATAAATGTATACGTGTCTAGTCTATGGTATAAACTTAAAATAGATATACATAGATAAATACTCACGTGTGATAATGATAAGTGGGTACGTATAGAGGCGGGGGTAAATAGCCAGGGGAAACACCTCCACCCGGCGATAGCACTCCGCCGCTACCCGTTCTGAAAGAAAATATAAAATAAATGATTAACCAACAAAAAAGATAATTTTCTATACTAACATGTTGTTGATTCAATTTCGTCAAATCAACAAAGATCCTATTCATATTTATGAAGAAACAATTTTGGAACACAAATAAATTTCTGATTTATCTGTTTTTTTCATGGCAATAAGTTTTTATCGGCTGCGATAGTCGAAGTTAAGCTTTCAAAACTTTCGCAGTGGTCAGTAGATGTGGATGGGATACTATTTCGAGCTCCTCTGTGCTACGGAAGGCAGATTAAGCCTTTAAACCCGGCTGCATCTACAGTCGTTACCAATTAGCACTCTGCCCGGGTCACAGACCAATTTCCCTATTCCATACATAGGGAGACGTGTGCCCCAACAGTGGGGACATTAAGAGTGGACGTGAGCAAAGAGACATTTGAGAAATTGGTATTTGAAAAAACTATTGCTGTCGCGCATTGGCAAATACCGTGCGATAGGGGACAACAGTAGTTAAAAATTGCAAAAATCAAATTTTGCCTCTCGACGTTTTCTTCTTCGAAAATTAGATATTTTATGAAAAAAAAATCCCATAGAATAATAAGTAGATATACTAGGCCTCTATGTTTTGCTTTTTTTGTAAATGCTTATTGAATCTTCACACCAGGAGTTTTTAGAGGTGATAAAAAATAGGTTATTATAGGCATTTTCGAAAACTTCCAGTTTCTTTCAACATCACAAATTATTACATACATACAAATTAGGAAGACGTAGGAGCATAGATTAAATAAATTACACTTTATATATGAAGATAATTTCTTTAGTGATAAAAATCAAGAAGGGATCAGTCGAGAGAGTTTGTATGGAAAAAAAAATTGCCCGCCTCCCCTTTCAATACTTTTTTTTTGAGTGTGTATACTGGTGGTCGCAGATGACCTTTACAGCGTCACCGGGTTTGGGGACGGCGAAATCCTAAGGGGACCTCAAGCCGAGAATTGGCGGGTGTCTCTAGACTCTAGAGTCTAGAGGTATTCGAGGCGGATGGCATCTCCCCACGGGGGGGAGTCTCTTCTCCGTCTGGAGCCTCTAGAGACCATTCGAACCTGAAGTTTTTTCAAATAGATTGATAACGCATGACTCACTTGTAGTGGGCGTGCGGGTGGTGGGCCCACGCGTGAGGCGGGTGCTTGTGGGCGGCGGGCGGGCCCACAGTGCCCACGCCGGCGCCGGACGATGGGCCACTAACGCCCACTGCCGACATGTACTCGCGGCAGCCGCCACTCTGTACAAAAGGACACAATTTGTTTATTACTATTTAATTCAAAATGAACTTAAGACTTCAGTAAAAAAACGTAAACAAAAAATAAAACCGACTTCAAAATTGAAAACGGAACTAAAAAGAAAAAACAAAATCTGGTTATGATTTGTAAGGCAGGCGGGTCAAGATTGAAGACGTATTATTACCGATCAGAAACGAAAATCTATCTAATGTTTCAATCTTGACCCCGCCCGACTTCCAAATCTTGAACCAGATATTATTTTTTAGTTTTTAGTTCCATTTTCGATTTTGAAGTCGGTTTTATTTTTTGTTTAAAGATTTTTTATTTCATCCATTTTAGTGAAAATTACATCGTCCAAGTAAACAATTACACAATTGACGAAGGAATCGGTGAACATGCATAAAAAAACATCGTGCGTGCGTGATCCTGACAGGTTCCAATGGGACCACCTCGGAAGTAATAATATATATACAGTCGAACACAGAACCTCCTTTTTTGGAGTCGGTTAAAAAGTCCTATAAAGCGAAGACGAAGTTTGATTGTAATTTATTTTTTAATGTTAATTTTTATATGTCAAAAAAATTAGAACAAAATAAATACAATATGCTTATAGACCCACTGTATGTGTAAACCGCAGGAGGCCCATATCCAGCAGTGGATGTGTGAAAAAAAAATGAGCGAGCCTTACAGTAGTCGCGTATGATGACATTTGAAACCTCACCTTATATTAGTAAAAAAAGAAATAAAACCTACTACAAAAGGACTCAGCCATTTGAACATTATTTTCTAAAATCAAATCAAATAGAGCGCGCTTCCTAAACTTCCGTCCCACTTCACGTAATCACTCCCACAAATTGCACGAGAGCGAGAGGAAAGATGTTACATATTAATGATAAGAATAACAAAACTCACGCTATCCCTTTTGTTGTGTTGTGCTGGCACGTACTGATTGCACTGGTAGTCGTTCGTCTGACGCACGCTCGCGCCGCTCTATAATAATAAACTATGTTTTAGCGTAAATTTGTGAAACTTTTCCTGCTTTTATATAGTAATAGTAAGGGAAATCGCCGGCTCGACCGCTTTCTGTACCCTTAGCCCGAACCAATACTGAATTCGTAACGTTTGCGAGTCCGAAATGTCTTTGTCAAATGTGTAGTGATTTTTAGTTCTCGTTACGTACTTTGTAGCGCTGCTGTTCAAGTTTCCATACAAAATTTGACATTGACATTTCGCACTCGCAAACTATGTAAATTCGATAATGGTACGTGCTAGGAGTACTGTACAGGCGATAAAATCTTGACGTCAGCTCTTTAGGTTTGAGTTTGATCCCAGAAATTATACTTGTGTGTTTTGGACAGCGTCATGTTTACCGCAGTGTGGTGAGAAAATATGCGTGTTTTGGACAGCGTCATATTAACCGCAGTGTGGTGAGAAAATGTGTTTTGGACAGCGTCATATTTACCGCAGTGTGGTGAGAAAATATGTGTGTTTTGAACAGCGTCATATTTACCGCAGTGTGGTGAGGCGGCGGGTCAGCATGCGGTTCTCGCTTGGCCTGCGCCTCTTGTTGCGCGAGTGCCAACAATCGTTTCTTCTGACTCTGAGGCGTCGCGTGAGGTTGAACGGGCGCGCGAGTTTGTTGCTGATGCTGTTGCGGTTGCTGTTGAGGCTGTTGGGGTTGCGCTTGTTGATGGTGCGGCTGTTGGTGTTGCTGTTGTGGCTGCAATGAAATGCAGAAGTGAGTGTAATAGTCACAGGGGTAATTACTGAGTACTTCTGTGAACCCTCTTCGTTCAGAGGATTCCATGACATGGAGAAAAATTGGTTCTAAATTTGCAACTTGTTGTTTCAACAAAATATCCAAACTTTAACATAAATTAAAATGAAATAAAACTATACTTTATTCATATTAACTTATTAAAGGCTCTTTTGAAACATCTCTTTTATCCTACTATTTAATCATGGCATCTTTTAGCTGATGAAAAGAATGGGCGCATGAAACTCGTCAGGATTTAGCAGAAGTAGCAATATTTACATAAAATCATGTCGCTACCATTACAACGTCCACTCACATTTTGATTGCTGTGTCATACAGTATAAACACAAATATTTATATTAGGTATAATAAGATAACATTGCGATAACAAAGATAAAGAACAGACTCATCTCCGCTGGCAGCGCTCGTTCACGAGCATGACGCATGAACCAGCAATCGCTTCGCCCAACCATATTTTAGGGAACGTAGCGACCCGCCTCACGTGACACCACCGAAGAGGTTTTCACTGAACCCTATAGTCAAATAACCAAGGTCAACTTCATACCCTGATCCTGCATCCCAAACTCCAAATACCTGGTGGTGGTGGGGGCAAGACTCATGCTTCATTTTTTTTACTCTATTTTTTACTTTTTAGTTATCAATGGACATATTTGAGAACTTCAATACCCCCCATTTTCTCAGCTAGTCTTTTCATTTGTCACCATATTGTAAGAAAGCTTAAGAAAAGTTAGGCAGCCATCTATTTTAGTCCGTCCAAATACCTGGTGGTGATGGGGGCAAGGCTCGTGCTTCACGTGCTTGTCGCCCGGCGAGCGCGCGCTGCATATCACCGCGGCCGGCGCGGACGGCGCCACCGTAGCGGCTTGCGAACATTCACCGCCTACGACAAAAGTTACCAATTGAAAAACTTGTTTTATTGCTTTGCAAAAAATACGAGTGATAGTCTAAAAATACCTAGTGACTCAATCACACTTGGTCGTTAGCCCGTATTCGAAAACGGGGACCGTGAGAGGTAAGGAGAAAATTACAAGTGCCCCAAGTTAAGGTTATGTTGGCAAGAGAAAGTTTAAAGATCATTTCATAACACCCATAATATTGTCTAAATAGGTGGTACGAGCCTCTTTTTCACTTTACATGAGGGTGCGCTTGATAGTATCACTATTGACTAGGTGATGTCTTATTCCATTGCTATGGTAAATAAAGGGACAATATTAAGTAAAAAATTGTCAATTTCAATGAGTTTTGGAGAGTATTTAGTCGTCTATAACGACTGGTGTTTCTTACAATCTGTATGTGATATTTTTCAAATCAAAAATAAGCTATTTAGTCATTGTCCGTATTGTATTGTTTACTCCAGGCAATGAAAGTCCCCTTTCTCGTATGACACAGTTTTCCATTTTTTTCCTCTATAAGCAATTGTGTGATAAAGACAGAACTCCACTAACTCGATTTCGTAAACAAATTATAGAACATAATATGACTATTAGGTATTATAGCTATACAGTATCATACGTTAGTACAAAGGTGCTAATATAAGTATTATGATCGTAAAAATAGTTTTTTTTCTCCTAATATTAATTACATACATACATTGACGTCATATATTTCCTTTGTGTGGTTAGCAGAGCATCAAAGTTGCGACACTAAGAGACAGATAAATATAAATTGATATAATAATAATTGAATTATTTTCTCAGTGGATTGAATGGATATATGATGATGACTGTAATAACGGTCCGTGATTGGGAATTGTGTATGGTGATGTGACAATGAGTATAACAATCCCTAAAATGAAGACAGGATATCGACGAAGTTATTAGCAATAAATCATAGTAATCGGACATTCTGTTGTAAAAAATCAAAAGTTCTGTAACTAAGTACTACACAATTTGCTGTCATGGCAACTTTAGAGTCTTAAGAGAGTCTCTCATCTAAATTCAAAAGCTTCCGCCAATGAAGTTCAAAAAACGATTTCAAATAAGTGTTTTTTTTTAATTCAATTCTATTCCATTTTAGATAGATAGCCTTAATAAGTGCAGCATACGCGACCATTGGTATTTATCAACATAACAATAGAACTACGTACCTAGTTAATAATACTAATAATACTTATCACTAGTATTTATATTATATTTATAGATAGATAATTTCTGAAATTATGTAAAGATAGTTTATACTCCCATCCCATATAATATCTGTTTATTTTTATGAAAATCATAATGATAACCAGGTAAATACCTAATTACCAATAATAAAATATAGAAACATATAAATGGAAAGACTTTGAACATTTAATTTGAAAATAAATCTATTATTAAACAGGAAGGTATCAGAGGTGCCAACTGCCAACACTCATAAATCAATATAAATATACGCATTTATTATTAATTGCATTTTTTGTTTATTGAAATCATATTATTTAAGTGCTTTCATATTTATAAACAATAAATTTTTTCAAAGGTATAAAGGATACATCGTTTACGGTTAAGTATCATAATTATAATCTCAAAATCTAATACATTCTGTAGTAGGGCACGGCTCCTCAAGTTGTCCGTATTACAACAAATGTCTAATGAGAGTTTATTAATGATTCCAAACACAACTATCATTTTCCATAGCCATGAATAATGTCGTACCTATATATTCCTTATAATGAACCTACATATTTCTATTTCATTTTTATTTGAATCTATTAATTGTTAATTGAATTTAATTGACATGAAGAATATATTATGAATATATACACTGTGAATATAATCAATATGGCGGATACTTTGATAATTTAAGAATGATTTATGAATATACTAATACTACTAACATAGGATAAGCCCGACACTGTTACTAACTTGTACTAATAATTATGGATGTTTATCTGAAATTAATGATTATTACTATTATTATTGCTGTGCCCTCTGGGGAATTCAAAGTATGGGGAACGAGTAATGTCCTTTGTTAGTAAAAAAAGCTTTTTTTTTGGATAATATGATATGTAAATGTAGCAATTGAATGATTGTGTTGTAACAATCATGTATCCCAAATATATTTTATTGATAACGACAATAAAATATATTTGGGATACAAAAACAATCGATTAGTTTTTAATTGTAAAAAGAAAATTCTAGACCTACCTACTTAAGGTATTACATTAATAAAATATCTAGAGCTTATTAAAATGTGCCGAGTAAGCTCCAAATGATAATAACCACAAGAACTAGTTTTTTTCCATTTCAAAAAGATAACTATATATTGCGTACTGCAAAAATGAATTATATTAATAGTAAATTACCTGAAAGTGTGCGAGAAATTACCGTGACCAACACATTTAAAAACATATCACAATATTTTTTGTTACTATACGATCCTAAAATTTGTGGAAGACAAAAGTTTTTAGGCCTATGTATAGAAAAAATTACATGCATGAAATAAAATCTTAAATTTATCGTTTATTGACATTTTGAATAAAATATGTTAAATTTATTAATTTGACATTGAAATAATTAATGATTTTTAGAAACATTATAATTGCATGCCGATTAGGCAGAATATGGCTCTACTGTACTAAAACGAATCTGTATAATATAACAACTTTGTAACCTGTATTCGCAATAAAGATGATTTGAATTGATAAAATTAACATTACCTCTATTATGTTGTTGGGTCGGTTGCTCGGCGTCGTCGTCCGAGTCGGATATGGTGATCACTGACACGGCCGGTGAAGGAGTGTCGCGTATCGTGATAGTGTGAGAAGCGCCGCAGTTATTGTTGCTGTTGTTGGTCACGACGGCCGCAGTGTTGGCGGTTACGACCGCGTTCGATTCCCAGCCGTTGTTCGAGTTCACTATCCGTCCGTTCCTGGAAATGGAATGAATGATTTACTATACAGGTTGTAATAAAACCTATGACAAAGACTAAAACTACGCATTCTGTACACCCAAACAAGTAATATAACAAAATATTATACGAGGAAATCATTTGTATTTTTAAGTTCAAAAAAAAATTTTTTCCAGTGCGCTATGTATAGCGCGGCGCGTTACTGTGGTGCTGCGCAAACAATGTGCTTGTGTGTAAGTGTGTGTAAGTGCGTCGATAAAAAAGTTTCTAAATAACTAAAAATATTAATGTGTAAATCTTGAAAAAACAATTGTGACTTTGACCTTCAATATCTCCATAATCATAAATTTACCAGATATGGTCCAGAAGAAAAATATGATAGTCATGATGTGGAAAATACGTGGCCTTCGACTTCGTTAAACGATATTTTACACCCTGTATTTTTGAAGTTTAATAAAGATTTCAAGAAGTTTTCGCAATATAATGAAGACGTGAGCGAGAGACGAAAGGATTTTTGAGAACTCACCCCTAAAGGGGTAAAACGGGATTCAAAAGTCAACTTGGACGAAATTGCGGGAGATAGATGGGACCATAACTTTTTTTAATTATGACGACGATATCATCGAATCCTGTGACTCACATCAAAATTATACTCTATTGTCTTGTATCAAGAGAATCAATGTACGCTGCAATGAAAATCTAGTTTCAGATTCATGACTTAATGTGTCAATATATATAATTCTTACTTTGCTAAATATCTATATTAATACTTGTCTATGCCACGCCGTCCGAACTCTATTCTCGTCACTCTCTTGTCTGCTTCTGTTATTACTGTCTTATTCTTTTATTTCTGTAATATTTGTAGTTAATAATATAATCCTTTATCCTAACCGCCGTTTCCTTTGCTGTCCTCGCCATATATATTAAAAAGTAAACTCACGAATGGTCGTGATGCCTGTGCCTCGAAGGTGGCGTGCCTTCTTTGACTCGTTTCTTGACAGGTGATAGCTGTGTTGGCTCCTTCTTGCCGCCGCTACTCGCCATGCTGCTGTTGGAAAGAAAAAAATATGAATGAATGTGTCGCTCGAATTGAATAAGTAAGCAGTAAATTTAGTTAAAGAAAGAGCAGAAAACGAGAGACGAAGTTATGACAGGATACCTGTCCCCGTAGCATGATCCACAATGTTATATTACATCACGTTTTTTTCTAGCGCCTAACGGCTTTTTTACCATCTGCTACTCGATGATAAGGGGCGAGTTTACAAGCTGCTAGTAAATTCGTTGGCTTGTAGCTTGTAAACTCGCCCCGTGTCATCGAGGCTTAACTGTCAAACTCCTAATAATTTGCCAATTGATCGTGTTAAAAACGAGCTGGAAATCATACCGTGGTGCTCATGCTAAGGGAGCTGGTGGAATAAAGGTGCCCAAGAGACGTAATGAAACAGTAAGTAGTTAAGGAATGTCAATTTTAGCGACTTTAAAAATAACAGAGTTTAAAAACGAAATGTTTTTTTCGCAACGGGAAAGGATAGCGCTAACCGAGTTTGTGAGTAAAGTTTAACTACAAGCTTTTGTCTTGGTTATTTCGTTCCTGAACCTGTATGTGTTAATTTCGTAATCGCAATATTCGCCTTATTATATTGTTCAGTTACAGTAGCGAAGATTATTATTAGTACTTTATAACCCAGTCGTATTAATAAACAGATAAAAGACATTACATCTGCTTAAGTAGTAACTTGAGCAACATTTTTCATTTCATCTTAAGAAATTTACCAAAGTAATAATTGCCAATACTGGGAATTCTTATAACTCGTGCAATTTAAGAAACGAATTTAAAATGCTATTCCGTCTCTCTCGTACGTTACTAAGAACAGCATGTGCGAGACACATATTTACACATGACGATCTCCGTGGCCGAGTGGTTTGTACGCCGGGCTTCATGGCTGTCGCCGACTCGAGAGGTCTCGGGTTCGAATCCCGGTGGGGGCAGATGTTTGTGTGATGATTACGAGCATTTGTACTCCAGTTATGGATGTTTAATATGTATTTTTATAAATATACTTATATATGTACAGTATATGTATTCTATCCGTTACCCTAGCATCCCATAACACACAACCTTATAGTGCTTACTTTGGGCCTAGGCTAATTGGTGTGATTGTCGGAAATATTTATTATTATTAATATTATTATTATTATATTTATCATAAAGGAATTCTCATTCCTTTTGTCTCGGTTATTTCGAAGGAAGTTATGCTATGTATTGCACCTGTCTTGATTCGTTTGGTGGTGCGGTTAATATTGTAGGAAAACACTAATTTTTTTACATTAAAGGAGAGAGGGGAACTAAGCTATGTAAAGTAAGAGTTTTCGGTTTCAAGGTTCAAAATTCAATCGCACCTGTATTGAGGCGTTTGGTGGTGCAGTTTAAGTTGTAGGAAAACACACATATTTAACATTAAAGGAGAGAGAGGAACAATGCTATGTAAACTAAGAGTTTGCGGTGTTAAGGTTCAAAATTCAATGGCACCTGTATTGATGCGGTTAATGTTGTGGGAAAACACACATTTTTAACATAAAGCAACCAAAGGAAATGAAGCTACGTAAACTAATAGTAGCGTTGTTAAGGTTCAAAATTCAATGGCACCTGTATTGATGCGTTTGATGGTGCGGTTGATAGTGCGGCACGGCGCCTGCCTGCTGCTTGGTCGATCTGTTGAAAATCTTCGCATTTTTATATATTCAATATTTAAAACTTAGGTTTACGTTAGCTATAACGTAATCTATTAAAATATTTTTTTTACATTAGTTTAATAAAATATTGATGACCATTGCGGGTCCAATCCCGAATATTATTTTTATGTGGCTAATTTAGTGTTTTATATTATCTTTTTTGGTTTCTGTGACACTAATAATAATTGTAAAACTGTTACTATATTATTACTAATAATATAGATATTATAATTAAAAAAATAAAAAATTTAAACCTTTTCTAGAAGTCTTAATCTATTATAGAATAACTAATGATAAAGTTATAAATATAAAATATACATGATCAACACCAGTTGTCGGGCTGATTTACGTCCTTAAATAGATATTAAAATTGACAAGCTGTTGAAAATATCAATAATTGGATTGATTTTACGACAGTAAAGTTTCAGTATCACCACAGATCCTATACACTTGAATACACGTACAATTGTACTCTCATTCTGTAGCTAGCATTATATCTAAGTTAGATATGCAAATGGCAGTGGCGACTGACTTTTTACACGCGGTAAAGCAGCCCAAGTTTCTTTTATTTCTTTGGCTGCATGTTCTGCTCGTTTAGGGTTGTAGACTTCATGAGAATGTTAATCAATCTATATCTTCAATATCTCACCTCTTTTGCGAGTGATGAGGGTGGTGTGGATGGAAGACATCCCATTACTCGGGTTCTGGTAAAGGCGCCGCATCCACTATCAGAGGGGCTCCATATCTCACCTCTTATGCGAGTGGTGAGGGTGGTGCGGATGGAAGGCATCCCATACATCGGGTTCGGGTAAAGGCGCGGGCTCCACTATCAGGGGGGCTCCATATCTCACCTCTTATGCGAGTGGTGAGGGTGATGCGGATGGAAGGCATCCCATACATCGAGCTCGGGTAAAGGCGCGGGCTCCACTATCAGGGGGGCTCCATATCTCACCTCTTATGGGAGTGGTGAGGGTGGTGCGGATGAAAGGCATCCCATACATCGGGCTCGGGTAAAGGCGCGGGCTCCACTATCAAGGGAGCTCGCCACTCGCCTACGCCCACGCCCACGCCGTGGTCGGGCACGCCCACGCCGCCCACGCCCACGCCGTGCTGGTGGTGGGCGGCGGCTGCAGCTGCAGCGGCAGCTGCTAACTGCTGCACCTAGAAGAGCAAAACGAGAGATTTTGTCAATCGCTCTAACTCGGACTCGGACATATAAACATTCAACCAAACAATATTTAAAGTTGCAGAAAATAAGTTTTAAAAATAATAAGAAAATTATGCCAAATGTGTTATACCAAATGAATTCTCTTCAGAACCATTCCACGTATACTTGAATTTCTATGAGCTTAGTACAACTAAATAAATAATATTTCTTTGATTAATCCTTTCCTTTCGCCTGCTTTGTTTCATCACTAAGGATTGAAGACTATTTTCAACATTTTTTTGTAACATAGGTTTACTTATGTTATTCCAGCTGTGTACATTTATGCTGGCTTTTGGCTGTTTAATGTACCTTTATAAATAAAATTAACCGTTTTATATTTTACCCATAAATGACGACACAGAGACGACATATTCAGAATAATAAAAAATATATATATAAATCACCTCCACAATCTATCAAAAAGGTACCTGATAAGCTGGCTGGCAGAGTATAGACGACACGAATTGGTGCGGGAACGGCTCGGCAGCTCTAGTTGCGTACTGCCTCGCCCCGCCCACGGCCACTCGACCGCCTTGGTACAACTGGTACTGGGGACGAATATAGGAGCAAATTAATAAATAATAATATTCTATACAAGGACACAAAAGTAATATTACATTGACAGGGAGATATTATTACACAATGGGCAGCATTATTACTAAATAGCAATCGCTTCCAGATGAAGCTTACATAATGGAAAATGAAATAAATCTATAAGAACAAAAAAGGAGGTAAAGATCTAAAAGCTGTATTGTAAAAAAAAAAATTATAATAAGACACGTGTTTAAATATAAAAAGAAACAAATAAATAAAGAAAGAAAAGAGTTATGTTAAACGTAAGGATAGGAAATGACGATGTAATTAATAATGTACACGTAATTATGATGATGAGTTTAATATACATACTTCATTAAAATTATTTTATCCTTGTTTGTAAAAGACTATAAAAAACTGAAATGTGAAGAATAATGAAAAATGTTAACAAATCGGTCTACACCCGTTCAAAAAATGATTTTTTTAATAAAAATAAATAATGAATAAAACACTATTTATACAGGTATCAAACGCAATCTATTATTTTACGTAATTACTGATGTATCGGACCGTTTCAAAAAGAATGTGAAATGTTATTCGTGGATGAAGTTCCGGGTCACTCATATTTGAATATAAGTATTAAACGAGTTTTGGTTAAAAAAGAGTTTTATTATTGTGCGTGAAAATATAAGACACAAATATTTTTAGAAATGATAAAAACATAAGCAACTTGCGGCGTTGGATAGTTCATTTAACGAGTGAAATGTACACACCAAGTTGTCGTAGGGCGCCGCCCTCAGCCGCTGCTGGTTGATGCTGAGCACCAGGTGGTGGGCGATGAGATACTAATATTATAAAGCTGAGACTTTGCTTGTTTATTTAACCGAGCTTATCTTGGAAACTACTAGGCCGATTTGAAAAATTCTTTTTGCGTTGAATAGTCCGTTTAACGAGTGAATTCAAGTTGTAGTAGGGCGCCGTCAGCCGCAGCTGGTTGATGCTAAGCGCCGTGTGATTTTGCGGCCACATACTATTTATTATAAACTGAGAATTTATTTATTTAAACGAGTTTATCTTGAAAACTAGACCGAATTGGAAAATTCATTTTGCGTTGGATAGTTTAACGAGTAAAAATATACTCACAAGGTTGTCGTAGGACGCCGCCCTCAGCTGGAACTGATTGATACTGAGTGCCAGGTGGTGGGCGGTGAGATACTAATATAATGTATTATAACGCCGAGATTTTGCTTGTTTATTTAAACGAGCTTATCTTGGAAACTACTTGTCCGATTTGGAAAATTATTTTTGCGTTGGATAGTCCGTTTAGCGACTGAAGATATACACACAAAGTTGTCGTAGGGCACCGTCTTCAGCCGCTGCTGGTTGATTCTGAGCGCTAGATGATGGGCGACGAGATACTAATATTATAAAGCTGAGACTGCTTGTTTATGTAAACGAGCTTATCTTGAAAACTACTCGTCCGATTTGGAAAATTCTTTTTGCGAAGGATAGTTTATAGAACGAGTAAAATATACACACCAGGTTGTCGTAGGACACCACCCTCAGCCGCTGCTGGTTGATGCTGAGCGCCAAGTGATGGGCGGTGAGATACTAATATTATAAAGCTGAGAATTTGTTTGTTTATTAAAACGAGCTTATTTTGGAAACCACTCGTCTGATTTGGAATATTATTTTTGTGTTGGATAGTTCATTTAACTAGTGAATATATACACACCAGGTTGTCGTAGGGCGCCGCCCTCAGCCGCTGCTGGTTGATGCTGAGCGCCGGGTGGTGGGCGGTGAGATACTAATACTACAAAGCTGAGACTTTGCTTGTTTATTCAAACGAGTTTTATCTTCGAAACTACTCGTCCGATTTGAAAAATTCTTTGTGCGTTGGATAGTTTATTTAAAGTGTGAATTTATACACACCAGGTTGTCGTAGGGCGCTGCCCTCAGCCGCTGCTGGTTGATGCTGAGAGCCAGGTGGTGGGCGGTGGGCGGGGCGGGCGCCACCACGCCGCCCACGCCGCTCACGTACTCGCCGGCACCCACGCCACCCACGCCACTGCCGGAGCGACGGCAAACCTGGTAGGTGAAGCAGTACGATTAGATCAGCTATTAGCTACCAGGGGAAGGCCACCTATGTACCTATATATTATGGGTCAGAACTGAAAACCAGCGATTTACTCTCTGAGTAAATGTTTCGCTGAGTTTTCGCCCGTTCGCATCGCTGCTGCACACGAAAATACCATAGTATAGAAGTATAAATAGAATTTGTTGCCTGTTTTAAAGGATTTATCTAATTGTAAAATTTGTCTTGTCAATTTGGTATGTGTGCATGTTAGTGTGAATAATGTCTATCTATCTTGCTATCTACCTATTGACTTTGATTAAATTTGTTTGCTATTGATATTTTTTTTTTGATTCGAAACAGTTATTACTTTTAATATGACATTGTAATATTATTTTTTAAATGACACAATACATTTTGACATTACAATATGCCAAATTTGTGTTAATTTATTATTTGTATGACTTGCCTGCGCGTTGGATATAGTCTGTAAGCTGGCATGTATAGTTAAATAAATAAATACATCGTGGCGCAAAAATAATCAACCAGTTTTAAAATCGAAAAACAAAAACAAAATTCTATTTCGGAATTTCCGTTGATGTCGCTACCAATTGGGCTGATATGGTGGCACTTGACATGTATTTATTGATCATGTTTTTTTTTATTTAGTAAAAAAGTTAAACAAATGTAGTAATAGGAAAACACAAGCGGGGATTTTTGGATTTACTCGAGCACGGCAGATTTACATATGGGGGTCAACCTTGCACCTAGTTAAGTACTCCCACCATACATGCGCCCTCTGTTTCTACCTAAAACATAATTTCGTCCATTTAATGGAAAAATGCATCTCTTGTCTACTTTTGGTGTCACTCACACAAATGCAAAGCACTGCTTAGGTCTCGCGGACTGTGTCTCACATTAAAGTGATCTTTTAATAACAATCTATAAACACTGAATAAATAGAAATACATATTGTTCCATTACCTCCATCATTTGTACGGAGGCCTTGACGTTGTTGCAGTGCGCGTAGTCGACTAAATGCGCCAGTGTTACAAAAGCGTGGTTTAGCGCTTCGCCTGGCGTTATCCTCCTTTCCTGTACAATGAAAAACATTATATAATTAATTAGACATATAACTATTTACGAGAAAACGTGAATTATAGCTATATACTTCTTTAAACCCTAACTCACATAATACAAAATGTAGTCTAATGTTAAACCTAGACTAAAACTGATGCTATCACTTTTTTTTTTGCTAAAAAGAAGATACGAGAAACAACATTAGGTTTAAACCAAGACTAACTTTAGTCCGCGGTTTGGAATAAGGGGAGTATTTGTATCATTTTTAGGTCCTCTTTAACTCTAGTTAAAGTTTTTTAATAAGGTGGTTAGGGTTTACAAATAAGAAAGAAAGAAAAACTAAATATTTAGATGAATTATTTTTGCACTACCTTTTTAATATCTTTGCTATAATTCTCCGGATGACTGGTAGAGAATGCCTAATGGCATTAAGTCCGCCACTTGTCGATCATTGGTCCAATAAAGTATAAATAAATAAATAAAAAGAAAATACAAACATATAAATACAATTGTTTTATATACTCAAATATGTTTCATTAACGGCTATGTTTATTGAATTCTGAATGTCTTATCCAGCAAAAGTTCAAATCATTCTTTTAATAGACAACAACAAGCACAACTGTCAATATTTTGGACGATCATTTTTATTAATACTAGCCATTTACCCTTTACTTTATTGTACTCTTAAAAAGCACTATAAACAAAAATACGGGTATTTGCTTGTTAAACATGTAATAAAAGTTATATTCTACAGCTGTGTTCAAGAAATCTTTTGTAATTCGCTTAATATAAGACTGTTAAAATAATCAATCAGAGCACAAAGTTGGTGAGTAAGGATCCAGGGCTCCACGGGTAGGGGATTTGGTCAGTGATATCATTTGTATCGCAAGTATCTATAGGCTATGGTGGCCGATTACCACCATGAGGGCTATATTCTTATTGCCACCCTTTTAAGAAAAACAAAAGTTAATTAGAAATATTGATGTAAAATGGTATCAATTACCTGGTCCATAGTAAGCATTCGCTTTAGTAAATCAATGAATTCCCTTCTGTCTGCTTTCTCCGCCAACAGTTGGCCGCCTTCAAGATCCGTTGGTACGTTAACCTGTAAAAACAGAAGCCATAATTTTAATGCAAATCCTCGGCACCTCTATGGTGTTACATGACTTTGTTTTAGACATGATATTGTCTAAAATGATGATGCCTGACGATCTAAATAACAAAAAGAAATTTAGTTACTAAAATTTCAAAAAACCGGCCATGTGCGAATCGGACCCGAAAGGTTCCGTAACATTATCTATACAACATTATAAACAATATGTTTTAATATCGAGCAAAAAACGTATGGGAGCTATCATTTAATACTTTATTTTATTTTAATTACTGTTAACTTCTTATAGGTTTAACTGTAATCAAAATATAAACAGCTACAGCATATTTTTTTCAAATTATTAGATGCAGTATTTTCGGAGATAAAGTAATTTTTTATCTATTTTCTTTAATATGTTTTAACTTTCCATTTTACATCTGTAAAAATACTATATTTGAAACCTTCACATTTAGCCCTTTCATTTAATTCACCACCCAAATGTAACCCTCATATTCGGAATTTATTTATTTACTTTATTCGTTCATGTTTAGGTCACCAAAATACATGGTACTATTTTTTTTTATAGATAGGTCCGACAAATGACTCCTCCCCACCTGATGTTAAGTGAAGGTGAAGTCCAGACGCGAAGACAGCTGATACAGCAGTTCTACCTGCCACACCAGCCATCCTCACCCTGCCGGCCTGCATTCTTCACGACTCTTTTAAAGGATCCCAGGTTGTAAGAGGGAGGTAAGTACACGAATGTGTACTTGATCGGTTAGTTCATGATATAATATAATCCAATTCACCTGTCCGATGTCGTCGAGGCAGTTGAAGATGTACTTCCTGGCCTCCTTGCTCTTGATACCGGTCTCCAGCTCGTGCTCTTCCGGAGTCTTCAGCCGCCAGAACGGGTACGTGCTGTCTACGTCGCGATAGAAGAACTTGGCCGTTTTACTCGCGCTGTGCAATGTTGGAAAGGAAATTTTGAATTATTCCAATTTTCGTCGCGTAATGTATGTTTGAAAAAGGTATTAAGGTCATAATATGCTAATAAAAAATACATAAAAAAAATATTAAAATTTCGAAGTGCCTTAAAATGCATTTAAATTTAACATTTTGAATTTCGTGCGTAGTTCAACGAAAACGCTGGACGCAGTGGACGCTATATTGCTCTGCGGACTTGACGTCACTAGTACTGTAAATAAATGCGTTACACATACATACGAACACATTAAAGTAGTGAGTTGACAGATGACACTTTGGCACATACTAGCGATGTGTCGTAATAACGTCTACTATTTCATCGCGTTTTACAACAGATTAAGAAAACTGAAAACTTTTAATTAAATTTTAAAATGTATTTTTTTATTTTATGAACTGCTGGTTTTTTCTCAGGTAGAGTGAAATACCCTATTACGGTTCATTAGGACTAAAATATGGTCGTGTTGGATAAAAATCCTATATATAAAGTTGAGTAGGGTCGACTTGTTTATTTCAAACAAATCTTCATTAAATAAATATAAGATTTTTTAAACGTTTATATTTTTTTAACTTGATTTTCATATTTTACAGTCTTCAAAGTTGGTTAGGATTAGCGTGATAATATGTAGCCTATATGTTGACCCGATTTCTTAATAATATTCGTGCCAAATTTTAAGTAAATCCATGCAGTACTTTTTAAGTTTTTTCCCGGACATACATACAGACAAACAAAAAATTCTAAAAACTATATTTTTGGCTATGGTATCGATTGTAGATCACACCCCAAGTATTCTTTAAAAAATATTCATTGTACAGATTTGACTTTCCTACCATTTTATTATATGTATAGATTACCTGTTAAGCATATGTTCCGTGGGCAGCCCCTGCGTCTGCGATATATACCGGATCTGGTCGTACTCGGACGAGCCTGGGTACAGAGGCCAGCCCAGGAACAGTTCCGCGACCACGCAGCCCAGAGACCACATGTCGATGGCTTCGCAGAACTGGAGCCCCAGGATTATCTCCGGTGCTCTGGGTGACAAATGAGATAAGTATGTTGAGTTATTGTTACTAGGCACTTTTCAATTAAAGTTAAAGAAAAAAGCAAACAAAGCTGTGTGAAAAACTAATTTTGAATTGTATTTTCACAATGGTCATTAATTGATTTTCCTAATGAACAATTCATTGATAATAATTTTAATTGTCCATTTAAGCCGTTGGTCCCGGCTGCATCTGCAGTCGTTAGCACAATAGCAGTAATCATAGCAGTCGTTAGCACCCGCCAATCCATATTGGGCCCACGTGGTGGGTCATGGCCCAATCTCCCTATTCCAACCATAGGGAAGGCCGGGCCCCAGCAGTGGGGACATTAATAGGTTGATGATGATGATTAATATCCTACCTATAGTATCTGCTCTGCAGTTAAGTGTTGCAGACGTGCGAGGCGCTGCCGAAGTCGATCACCTTCACGCGGTAAGGAGCATTATGTTCTACGGCCTAAGGTCCGCGTGGATCAATATCACGATATCGCAGTCACTCACCTATAGTATCTGCTCTGCAGGTAAGTATTGCAGACCGCCTTGCTGACGTGCGAGGCGCTGCCGAAGTCGATCACCTTCACGCGGTACGGCTGCCGCGCCGGCTCCACCAGCATTATGTTCTCGGGCTTAAGGTCGGCGTGGATCAAGCCCAGTTGCTGCGAACGAACAGAATGTGTGTCGGTTAAAACAAATGTATGATAGAATAATGTAAAACACCGCACGTTCCATCATTTCTGTGTAGTCATAGCTGTGCATTCATGACTGCAGCAATAACATGGAATACCGTACAGGGGCCAGAGGTGGATTCATGGAAACTGGGTTTACAAACTTTGTTGACCAAAAATATCAAAGTGATTGAATAGAAAAAAAAGTGTTTAAAAGGCATATTTTGAAAATTTATAATTTTAAAACTTATGATAATAATTGACATTTTGACATTGCGTTATTTAAATTTTAACAGTTTAGGTATCTATATGTTACCCGGGATGGTGGAAAAAAGAACTGTGCAAAGATACATGAACCCTGAACCATTATACTCTTTTTCTTGGGCAGTCCTGTAAAAAGACTTATGCTTGGGTCTTCGGAGTCTGAAATCTGAATGACTATTATAGTTAAAATTATGACAGTTCTTTCACATCATATAACCCCCTCATTTATTCCCCATAGCAAAAAAAAATTGGCGTTATCAACATCAATCTAGCAATAATTTTCTGCACAGCCCAATATAGGCAAACTAGCCAAGCCTACCAGAAACCAAACCTACCTTCAACTTGAGCAGCGCAGTGAGCACTTGCTGCAGTATCGGCCTGATGTACTTGAGCGGCAGCGGTGAGAACTTGTTCTGCTTCAGGAAGTCATAGAGGTTCTGCTCGAGCATCTCGAATACGAGGCACGTGTGCGACCGATGTTGGAAGCACTCGTACGCGCGCACGAAGTTGAACTCGTCCGCCGACTCCTGCGATAGGCGCGACAGGATGGACACCTGTATGCCGAGATAAAGGAACATTGTTAAAATTAATGACAGACATAAGAACTGCAGATTCCTTTCCCATATGGAAATATTCATATAACGTTTGATTTTGTAAATTAACAAAGATTAGGTTTTTTTCATTTAAGTACAAAATTTGTTTTCTACTTCTATCCTATATGGGGAATTGAACTCAGAAAACGGCCACAGGAGACCGTATATAAAATATGTATGGTAAATGCATAACCACAATGAGCATTATACTATAGCATTTATTTCTTTCATCTCATTATTTTGCATTTTCGGTGTTGTTTTTTGATAAATGACTGAATATTATTGTGATTGAATTTGTTTAACTTTTGTAATTCAGTGACTTTAATATTATCAGATACCAGAAATTCCTATTAAAACTCGTTGGTGTCATTTAATGTACATGAGAAAGATATAAATAAGAAATCTAGAATGCATACAATGACCGACATATTCTATGATTTATTTTATACATGACGAATCAACGTTTGCAATTCTTTGATAAACCTATTATCGATCTGTAAGAACGTAATGTAGTTTTCATTGCACATGAAACATGTGTATGACACATGATGTAGTGAATATTTTTTCAATTCACTCACATTATTGTTCTTACTACCGGCCTGTTCCGGCTTCACACGGGTGAATTAAATACCATGGAAACATAATGAATCAGCTATCACCTGATTTTTCAGCTTAGCAAAAGGTTTTAAAGTAAATAGGTCCTATTTGGCCAAGGGCATGGCCATTATGATTTTTCTGTTTAGCAAAGTTTCTTTTAGTCATATAGGTAGATTGAATATCTTTTCATCCCGGATGTCTCAAGGGAACGGGAACTCTAGCTAATAATAAGATATAAGAGCAAATTTGATGAATATATTTTATAGATAACTTGCTATCCTTATTTCTCGTTGAGAAAATTTCTCGTAGAGAAATAAGGATTTCAATTCGAGTAGTTAAATCAATTCTTATTCTCGTAGAGAAAGAAGGATAGCGTAGAGGTAGAATTTAAAAAAAAATATGAAACGTGTTTTTTTTAAGTTTCCGTTTAGTTTATCTAAGTCAAGTTTCGGTCTAGTTTATCTAAGCAAAGTTTCAGATTACCTTATCTTAGCCAAGTCAAGCTAGCCAAACTCTTTTTCCCATACGAGCTTTGAACCCCTATATCACCTAATTCACGGTAGACTATTCAAAAATCTTTTCTCGCTTAATGCTTTCGTCATTTAACCAACCTATTTACTAAATATCATGTCTCTACGACCAAAATTGAAGGCGTGCGTTGGCGGACTATTTAAAACTACAACATGCTATATTTTTTTTTTATGACGGTAGTTTTAAAAAATGAAAACACAGATAGCATTTTTATTATATACAAAGTATTTTTTGAGAAAATTACTAAGATGTTGACCATACAATAGTGTCAATAGTTATATTGTATCCGAAACACGTACCAATATCGAATTCGAATCGTTAGATAGGATCTTGATACGTGTCAAATGTCATGAAGTTTTGTATGGAATATTTTTTACTCTCGTTACGTACGTGGTGCTATTCAAATTTCCATCCAAAATACTACTTGACGTTTGTTGCATATCGAGATCGAATTCAACAATACGAGTTCAATATTTTTCGTGCTAAGAGTAGGCGCTCTAATTGGTGACTTAATAGAGCAATAAACCAATATGAATTCTTTTAGAAAATGCAGATGTGATCTTCTAGATACCCTTATTTTCCTCCGAAGTATAACTACGGATTGTGTGAAATTAGCGCCCATGTCTAATGGTCATTAAAGCAAATGTTGTGATATACTTTCAACAGCACATTTGAAAGAGAACCCATAAAGGGTGGTCAATTTATAGTACCCATAGGTAGGTATCTCAAGCGATGTGGCGAAAGACGGCACTCCGGTGTACAAACATTGCCTAACTGGAGCCCGGCCAAACTCACGATAATGGATCGTGGACGCGGCCTTCTGGGAAATAACAGCGCGCCCGGCAAATAGCACAGCAAGTTGCCACTTATTAAAGACAAAAATATAAAGATATCGCCCATTCGAAAAAACGCGTAGAAAACTATTTCACGTATTTCAATTCAAATAGCATAGCTTTTACTACTTTGTCACCAAAATATTATCTAATAATACATCATACACTCGAGAGCAATGAATCCGGGTCACTTAAAGACTCCTAAATATCTCGCAAACTAAGAATGAAGAATGATAAACAAAATAAGAATGCTAGCTTAATGAAATAAATTCTAATTAAAAGACATAGCATTCTTAGTTTGCGAGATTTTTAGGATTCTTTATGTGACCCGGATTCATTGCTCTCGAGTGTATAAATAACACTATTTGTATTTTACTATAAGAAACAGCAATCAGAATGTGAGTGGACGTTATATTAGTAGCGACATGATTTTATGTAAATGTTGCTACTTCTGTTAAATGCTGCTGACTTTCTTGCGACTATTCTTCTCATCAGCTAAAATATGTCCTGAATGGGTGGTAGGAAACATTTTGGATGATACAAAAGCTTTCAATAGGTATTTCAATAAAGTACTATTTCATTTCATTTATTGAATCGATTGATCGATCAACATACAGTAAAAAGCCTGATTTACTAAAATCATGTATAAAATATCTTGTTGAAATGAGAATAAAACGCAAAATGTCTGTGAATACTGTATACCTAAGTAACGTTGTATAATATCATGTGTTAAAAATATTTGCTATGTATCAACAACGCGACGAAGCAAAATCTCAAACTACGTAGTTGTCTTATTGAATGTGATTTTATTAGCAAGAAAATTAATGATAGTACCTAGATATTTTGTTTTTCGAATTTATTCTCGCTGTGTGTTGGAATGGAATTGAGTTTAGATATTAGTTGGCAGAGTTAAAATGTTCGGTATTACTCTGTCTCCGAAATAGTATCCTATGACAACAAAGAAACTTGCAAAAACGTGTTTTTTACATATTGAGTCTGCCATCAAAACCGTAACATGGTTGGGACACATTACATGTTTTCCATAAAAAGTAGCCGATGTCCTTTTCCGAGATCCCTTTTTTTTAAAAACATTAGTTCAACAATTAAGATGTAAAGCATTGCATACATATAGATGACGGGCAGGCAGACAGGCAGAGTTACTAGCGCATTTATAATATTTATACAGAATGGATGTTATCTCCTAACAGTATGAACACCTTTTTTTATACAAGGCGCAACAAATTACTCCACCCCACCTGATGTTAAGTATAAGTGGAATGCAGGCGCGAAGATAGAAGGTGTGCCGCTCCAGCCATCTTCACCTTCCCGGCCTGAACCCAATACCCTACCCTGCAGAGCCCTATAACACTACTCACCAGCAAAAACACAACACCACCAATAGGTAGTGTTATTTTACTGTCTTCTGTAAGGTTGAATTAAGTATAGAATGATAGGTATACCAATAAACAGTTAACTGTTAAATAGGAAGGTTTCCTCACTGCACAATTTTATTGCCATTATAAAACCTTAATTGTCCTATGTTGATATTCGCCTCTTTACCAAGGCACAGATAAAGGATCATGTTTGCTAGCAGTGTTGAGCGTTCCCTAGCGTCAACAGAATAAGGACAAAGAAGTTTCCACTGCGCATTTGTATTCAAATTAATTTATAAATTCAAAACGTAGAACACGGTCTTTATAACACTATGCTCAGATGTTGGGTAACTCTCATTTATTTGCAGTATTTTCTGGAAACAAAAAATTGTCTAAGCTGATATTGATATTTGAATAAAACCTATTTACTTTTTGTGAAGTTAGGTGCATAAAGAATAATCGAGTGGAACTAGCAAAGTCACGTCGACCAATAAGAGCGCACCGGTATTTTTGTCGATATTTTTTGTTAAAGTGAAGTAAAACTTCTTGTAGTTAAAATTTCGAAAATTAAAGACAGTGGGAGTGATTGAGGTTGTTTGTCTGTTATTTAATCACGCAAAAACTACTGAACGGATTTTGATCAAATTTGGTAAGCCTATAGTTTTTACCTGGATTGAGACACTTTTTATGCCGGATTTTTTTAAGTTCCTGTGTTGTCTCAAAAAACCAAGTTAACGCGGGTGAAGTCGCAGGCGGTCGCTAGTTGTGTATAAATGATGGTTGCCATACCTCAATCTGCCCCTGGCGAGCATAGCTGGGGTGGTTCTTGAGGATCTTGATGGCCACTATCTCGTTGGTGCCTTTCTTCCAGCACTTCACCACCTGACCGAAGGTGCCCCGTCCGAGGAACTCCAACACCTCGTACCTGGGTAAACATAATATGATTAAATACAGTTTCTCCTCCATAAGAGATAAAAGAGCATTTACAGTTTCATAGCTTATGGAACATGGCCCAGTTTTTCCATCGTTTTGTACTTCGTTACCCACTTATTTCACCTTTCAGGTGTTCCAAATTTAGTCGCCTTCGCCACCCAAGCCGAACCTTGTGGCGTCAAGTCGTCGACTAAGACCAGTAGTTAGTCTAGGGAAATATCTTAGAGAACGTAGTTAGACTCACCTTTAGGCGAGCAGTAGAGCACCTCGTGCTGCATGAGCTGGTAATCGATATCGCCACCGCAGCCAGTCCCCGCGGTGTTAAGTAGAGTCACGTCGACTGACATGGGCCGCAAATTTGTGGAAGTATCTTACAATCTTGGAGATCGTAGTAAGACTCACCTATAGGCGAGGAGTAGAGCACCTCGTGCTGCATGAGCTGGTAGTCGACACCGCAGCCGGTCCCTGCGGTGTCAAGAAGAGCCACGTCGACTAAGACCAGCTGTAAATCTGGGTAAGTATTTAACACTCTTAGAGAACGTAGTAAGACTCACCTACATGAGAGGACTAGAGCACCTCGTGGTGCATGAGCTGGTAGTCGACATCGCCACCGCAATCGGTCCCTGCGGTGTCAAGTAGAGTCACGTCGACTAAGACCAGCTGTAAGTCTGTGGAAGTATCTAAGAACTTGGAGATCGTAATAAGACTCACCTATTGGACGAGGAGTAGAGCACCTCGTGCTGCAGGAGCTGGTAGTCGACATCGCCACCGTAACCGGTCCCTGCGGTGTCGAGTCACGTCGACTGACACAGGCCGCAAGTCTGTGGAAGTATCTTACAATCTTGGAGATCGTAATAAGACTCACCTATTGGACGAGGAGTAGAGCACCTCGTGCTGCACGAGCTGGTAGTCGCCATCGCCACCGCAGCCGGACCCTGTGGCGTCAAGTCGAATCACGTCGACGGTCGAGGCGAAGCCGCACCGCATGTCACACATACGAACATTTGCTAGTTAGTTACATATACATACTTATTAAGCTCGTTTATTATAATTACATGACTTGCAAAAATCTTTATCTATTAGGGATTTTTGAATAAATATATATATAATGTGTGTCATACCAAAAGAGATATAGGCCTAGGGCATACAACTGATTTTTATTAAATAAAGATTTTTATTCCTGTGTACTATATAACATATGACATGCAAAGATTTTCAAAAGGGGTAGAGGTATATAAAATAATTTAGTTACGATACTTTATTGAATTTAAATAAAACTATGTCATACCTACAACAACCTACTTTCTAACATTTATAATCCAACAAGAAACTTATAAATAGTATGACTTTTAAAAAGTACTTATTTGTACTGTTTATACTGAAAATGTCAATTTGTAATAAAAAAATATACACGATTGAAACTATTTAAAAAGAAAATACGGCTAACATTAAGATTGTATGTAAAAAGAAATGAAATAAACCTATTAAATGGCAAAGTCAAAGCAATTATAAAAACACATTTTATTATTACTTTGTATATAGTTCTACATTGGGATATGAGTTTCATATCAAAACTTTTATTGTTTTTTTAATACATTTTATAATTGAATTAGTGGATAAATTTCCTAGTTACTGACTAATTTTTTTTTTAATTCCGATTCATTACTATTCACAATTCTACCCGTCTTTGTGATTATATCAGCCCTTATTTTAATGAATTTGAAAACGGATTCGACTTCGATATCTGTACTTCTGTCCTTGTCAATGCCCAGACGACTAAAAATGACAACAGAAATCGAATTCAAAATCGTTATCAATCGTATGTAAATAAGGGGCCCCGTCTCCCGATCATAATATAATACCTATACATATCCAACTGTAGAGCAAGCGTTGAGCAGTGCGTATGGTGACATGACAAAAGTGCATAAAAGTTCAAACAAACTACAGGTTCGGTTCTGGTGCGGACTGCCCACGTATAATACAGACAACCATAGACCAATTTATCCAAATTCTCAATGGATTATCAATGTTATAACAAGCGAGATAAAGCTCAAAGTCAGTCAGAGATACTGACAGGTTTGTATAACTTGACATGGTTGTTTGTACATTACATACGGAGGTACGCCCAGCGAGTGGTTAGGTTGTTACCTCCTGTTAGGTTGGTTGAATTTTGATACATTCAAATACGTCAAAGCGAGCCGGACTATTGTAAATGTCACAGGCCGAAAGCTGTGCAGGACAAGGCTGGATGGGTACAGAACGGCGATTAAACTCATACTGCCACTTTTGCGTTCAGTAATGTCGAATTAACAACGGGTTGATTTATTTGATAATTTAACCTCCGATTTGTATTAATGGGTTCTACATTCTCTAAAGAATTTTAATACTAATGCAATCAAACAAACTTTATTTATTTAGCAAAATATAATATTTTGGAAGAATCTGTACATGCCAATTGTGAAGAATTAATGTTTTAGAAACCTTACTGTATTTACAATAGGCAAGCTCTATATAAAAAAATATATATAATTTCAGGCGTTACTTAACATAGCCTTGATGCTGTGGAGTGTAGGTACAGTAAAGTGTGAATAAAATGGAATGTAATAATGAGTAGGTATTTTTGTTTATAATTCGAACAACAGTCTCTTGCACAGTCCAGACTATAATTTGTAAAATTCATCTATCGTCATTAAGGCAGATTTAAAAGTATTGTAATCTATTAACGATTATCGAGACCTTGAACTTTGATAAGTTAACAGTTAAAGATCTAATAGTGATTCACACGATGACGTGCGCTCATACGACAAAACATAACGATCATTTGAAATTATTGCGAATTTTTTACAATAATTTTCAGCAAATTGTTGCAAAAACTAAAAACTAGCAAATCGTTTCCTGCGTCCTAAGATTTGAATGCTATTGAGGTTATTTATGGAAAGTAGACAATACTATTAACGAATCACATCAGTCATTTTTCTTATATTTACCTATATAAGATAAGAAACAATATTTTTATCTCGTTTCAAATGCTTCAATTAGAATTTATTTGCAACTACCAACACGTGTTGTCAAAATTAATAGCGGCAATAGGAGTTGTCAGTCGTTCTTTTTGGTAGTATGAAGTGTAGTGTATGTTGTTCTGTACTTGGTGTGTTGTGCAGTGTACAAAGGAGGTAACAACAAATGGACATTACGTTTGTGGTTACCTTGCGGCTGGGGCGGGTGGTTGGCCCCGCCCGCCGCCAGCTGCTTGCTGTGGGCCGTCGTCGTAGCGGCCTGCGGTGCCGTCTTGTGCCGCGCGCTCGCCGCGCCCGCGCCGCCGCCCACCAGGCTCGCCTCCTGCCTCCGTCGCTGGTCACTGTTATCTCCAACACTGGACAATAGACGAAAAACATCACTTAGTAAAAAGTCGAAGTCAAATTGTCTTTATTTTGTATATGCAACGGTGGTTCGAAGAGAAGCAGTAGAACGTGGAACTTGTGTAAGTAAATAATGAATCATGCTGGACCGTGCCGGGCCCGACACGAGCGTCGGCCTTAAGCAATTCACTCGGTTACTGCTCTTTATAGCGTAAGTGTCCATATAAAATGTATTTCTTATTAGTTGACCTTGAGATCGGTCGTGCGGTCGACGCCCGAACACGGCACGGTTGACGCCCGGTCCGGACCCAGAACGGTGTAGCGTGAGTCATTCTTAAATCTGTTGGGAAAAGTAGCCAGTCCAAGAAGATAGGCCACTTCCAATACAATAATTTTTGTCATCACGATGTAGGTCGGAGAAAAATGGGACATAAAAGGACTCCAACGTGAAAAAGAATAATATACCACATTTACAAAATATGTATTACGTTGTTTGTTACATTGTAAATACATAATAATTATTTTCATTCTGTATTTAACCTGTTTGTATGATTGGAAAAGTTCAAACCTCAGCAGTTCTGTAATACTTATCACAAAAATTCAATACTTTTTCTTACCGCCTCTATAAATTAGACACTAGACATTCCTTGATCGAGCTTAGAGTAACTAATTGAAAAATGATTACATAATAAGGTATAGATTACACAGTTAAAGTAGATAATCGTGTCCCAAATAACAAATACTCGTTTTCCTAAATCTAATTTGAAATAAGTGTAACATAGAATATAAACCTTTGACGTTCCGAATACACCAATTTTACGATCATAATATGAGATCCTAATAATTAAAATTTTCATAATCATGTGCACACGAGCACGTGACAATTTTCCGCTTAGGCGCCGGCAATGCCGAGAAGCATTCGTTAACTCTAATCACTGCTGGATTGAGACACAATTGTAAATTAATGATGACAAGACAAGACCCTTCATCGACTTAATGTCATTAAAATACTAATGTCATTTAGTTTCAACATCCAAAATTGAGTTGTAATGTCTTGGCTGGAAGTAGCATGTGCCGGGTCTCATTATTATAATAAAATTGATAACAGATAAAACTTATTTAATCTTTATTTCCATATTAAATAGATTCTTCAGTGAATTGAATGTCAAATATGCATATACAATCATGACTGGGCAACAAATTTATACATTATCACGTTTAGATGGAAAACTTCTGCCACATTAAAATTAATAATACGTTGTTTCTATACACTGTGGTATGTTTACATTTTGAATAGGTATTAGTGACAAGGTACGTTACAGGAGCTGCTGTCGGAAGCTTCGTGAGTAAATAATAGATAATTTGACAAATTAATTTAAAGTATAATTCGAATATTTAAATTTTATTTAATTTAGCTACTATAAACACAATGAAGATTAAATTTTCATTTGTAAATTTAGTAAGCGGACCTCGAAGTTAACCTGCACCATGAAATAGTAATTTATACTATTAAAGCAATTTAATACTTAAAAGAGAAATCCGTACACTTGTGAACGAAATGTTTCTTTTTTGTGAGAGAAAAAAAAAACTTTTTGCCCCAGGCTCGGTTGCACACCTGCACTGCTATTATTGACAAAAAGTTAACAGTAAAATTACGGATACCATTTGAAGCAGCCGCGATGGAAAAGGTTTTATTTTATGAAATAGGTATTTTAGGTTGATAGAATATTTGAACTGCGGCAGAATATAATATACTGAAGAGCAATGAAAACGGGTCAGTTAAATTTATTTATTAAATTACAGTCATGAAATACAGATTTACAAAAAAATTTTTTTTTTTTAACCGACTTCAAAAAAGGAGGAGGTTCTATGTTCGTCTGTACATTTTTTTTAATGTATGTTTACCGATATCTCCGTCAATTGTGTGAATAAAAAAAGAATTTTGGAAATCGGTCCACAATTGTTGGAGATATCGGTAAACGTACATTAAAAAAAATGTACAGTCGAAGATAGAACCTCCTCCTTTTTAAAGTCGGTTTAAGACTACAGTCTATACATAATTTGTGTTTAAATTTGTATTTTTTTTGTAAATCTGTATTTTACTCATCATTCACTTTTCATTTCATATATAAAAAAAGTACAACAAACATAGAACCTCCTCCTTTTTTGAAGTCGGTTAAAAACTAGTCTATACATAAAACAATGTATGTTAAATTTGTATTTTTTGGAAATATTGGCCCCCATTTTACATGTAGGGGAGATCAACCAAAGTAGGTAAGTAGTAAGTAATACAATCGTATTGTGAATTAAATTCTAGAAATATCTGTTAAAATAAACTGAAATTTCAATCAACCGTAATTAATCAGAAAATAAACCGGTCTCTAAAATATGGGTGACCCGGATTCATTGCTCGCGAGTGTATTTCGTAGATCCCTACAGTACATTCATATAAATATCAATATGATATTTGCAAATCAACAATCTACGCTATATTTTGGGATTGCAAATTAAATTTTGATGCAAATAATTTTCAGATATTTTATCTCAGTGTACAATAATACGTAACTATGTGAGGTTACTACGAGTATTTACTCACGTAAAATTCTAACGCATTCTGACGTGTTAAGATAAGGTATCAGTACAAATTGTTTTCAAGATTTAATAAATAAAATCGTGCATAATCTATTCCTTTCGTTCATCTTATCCCCATTATTTCTAATTTCATTTCATAAACATCCAATTTGCCTCGCAAATCCCATATCAAATGCAAATCCAAAGTAAGGAACGCTAAATACTCTACACAACATTGGACTCTTATTCCACAGCTTTAAAGCTGACATTTTCGTGACAAAACACTTATAACTATGTGACTTAATAGTAGACACGAGAAATGGAATTATAAACTTACGAATCGTCAAGATCGAGATCATATTCGTCATCATCCTCATAATCATCTTCGAATTCAAACTTGAGTCTTGGTATAGAGAGATCCATTTCTCTAAACACACCTGAATCCACCACGTATTTTACACAAATTTACACTATATACACTTAATTTAAGTAGTCTTATCACTATCTTACACTATACACAGAATCACTTATATCATAAGTCGTCTAGTAATATGTGGAGGTGTAAATCACAATATTTTTTGTTTTGAGTGTAGGTTGAGCTGCGTGTGCGCATCCTTGGGGTTTAAGGGTAACACTGGCGTCAGGGCTTCGGTTGCGGTATGCGTCGTCGTGGGGTGGTTAGGGAGGGGCGCAGGTAGCAGGGGTCGGGGCGAACCCTAAATTCCCCGTATTGTGCGCGAGCCCATTCATGTATGGAAAAAAAGGGCCGAGTACGCATGTATGACGACGACGTAAGTACTGTACTTTGCTAACATTTTGTTTATCCCTGTGTGGGAACGGTACTTAAGTAAGTAACTTTATAAACAAGTAGTTTTGCTACTGACAGACAGAAGAAGAAAGAAGAAAATAATAATTTATCATGTAAAATGAAAAAGTATCAAATGCAAACGTCGGTTACCAGCCACCACGACGTATCTTAGACGCTTGCAATACGAGAATAGCGCTCAGGCGTCGGAGCCTAAAATCCATAATATGCGAACCAAAGGTTAGGGGAATAAATGTTTAATGTACACAGTCGAATGTTTTAATCGTACTTATTTTAATTTGACATACTTGACGGCCTATTCGATAACTTTTTTGTCATTTAAAGTGCATAACTAAAGAGAAAATTGAATATCCAACGATGCTTTTCAGAACAAGTATCTTAGTGGCGTTATAATAAAACAGTAGTGGATTACTAAATAGCTCGCTGATTATCACTTCCATCTCTCAAAAGCAGTTAGCGATAAGGCCTACAAAATTATAAGATGAGACTATTTGCCTGCATGTACTGCTGAAAAAACACCATATAAGAAAACGTCATGCAAAAACATGTTGTTTAGTTGACGCACTAGTGCGAGCTGCTCAGCCCTTGTGCGTAGGCCTTTAGGTTATGATTTAAAATAGATTCCCGCTCGAATTGGAGCTCCTGCTCGGGGAAGTTATCTTTATAGTAGACTAATAGAAAACAAACATAACACTACTACACTACTACTACTACTACACTACTTGGGGATTTTTGTTTAGGTTGGGGGAGTACTTTCGAAAGCTCTTCGAAACAACAATTATTAAATTTCTCTAACCTATATGTTTATTTTTTCACCACAATTCATCTTATAAAAATATTTTTGGGGATTTATATATCCCGCCAAGAACTGAACTCCTAGGTAATTTCATAAATATACCACAGAATAACATGTTTGTTAATCAATTACCAACCGAATATAGTAATACATATACGAAATATTATTGCAGAAAGTAAATTGCCACGAAAATACCACGTTTAGCGTAATGAGAATACAAATAAATAACAGAAACCATTTTTAAGGTCTAACGAGATTTTAAATATTAATTACTGGACTAAGCTCATTATTATTGGCGTGGTATTTATTTCGTCGCAAAATAACATAATTATTTTAAATCGGACTACTGTTTGTTCTTTGAATATTAAGATGAATGAATGCACACACAAAGAATCGTTATCTAATTATTTTAGAAAATAACATCTTTTATCTTTGGTTCGCTGTAGGTATTTGGAGCAATTTCATTTGTCATTTTGCGCATTGTTATCGTTTTATCTTACTTTTGTACTAAAAATACCACGGCTTGTTCGGCATCACATAACTTTGTTCATTATTATTTTTTTGTTCTCAGGTACACTATAAGAAGCTGTTATGAACTTCTGTTTGCCATTATCCTATTGTTATATTGTAAAGTATGGCCTGCGCAGACGGAGGTCTTTGTCTGCGGAGGACAATAATCCCTGAATCTTGAGGAAAATGTCTGCCGAGGATTTTTCAGCTTGTCACGGATTCGATGCACACGATGTGCGTACATTTATCCCCCGAAAATTTAGAAAAGCGCATGCTATGTAGTAAATGTTCTCGGATTACGTTGTGTTGTA